CAAGAGGGCGGCGACGTCACCGTTCACGCAGAGCCAGTTCAAGTGGCGTTTCTTTCTTTCATTCCTTTTTTATGGTGCCTCTTTCTTCTCCTGCTTCTTCTTGCCTTTTGGCTATCATCTCTGTTTTGTGGTTAATCTTTTGTTTTGAATACGTTTTATCTACGTCTGTTCGGGTTCTGTGTGAGTTTGTGCCTGTGTGTGAGTGAGAAGCTGCTGTTTTGGTGCTTACTGCTCTTTTTGGTTTGGTTATTTTTTCTGTTTTTTGTTTTTGCGAGCACGTAATTCTTAGATATCGAACGCACAGCTGCTTTTTGTTTTGATACGTAAAATCCATAGTCAACCTGTCGCGCTGTGAACCTTTTGATTAAAAAACCAACAAGAAAAAGCTGAAAACAGGTTTCTGGTGACGTATATTTCAACCAAAATATTATGCGAATATCTGGCTGTTAAAGTTGTAAAATCCCCCAGCGAAGAAGTAGCAAACTTTTCCATTACACTGCGCGTTTAGCAATGACTAATTGCAATTTTAAATTGCTTATTTGAGTCTCAAGTGCCTTGAGTTTTAATCGCATTTGTTTGTCGCAAGATTTAGCTTTCGTTTCTTTTGCTGCTTTTATTGTTTTCCTTTTCTTTGATAACTGTTGTTTTTCGTCACTCCTCTATTTAGTCACGGGGCGCTACTACTTATATCAGGACTTAAAAAAACTCCAGTTTAAATAATTTAAATAAATTTGTCTATATTATGGGGAGAATAAAACAAATTTTTTTTGAGCGAAGTGATTGTTATTTGATTATTGACAAAAGCTTCTCAAGAGAGTATTAAATTTTTATTAAAATATATTTATAATTAATTCCCACAGCCTTAATTACATATAATTAAAGCTAACACAATTTGAATTTCTTTATTTATTTTGTATTTATTGCTAGGGAATTTCTATCCATTTATTTGCTAGCTGCGCCACTTTTATGACTTTTGTTTTTGTTGCTAGGCAGCCAGCGAAAATTGAGTTTCAGTGCGATTATTACTGGAATTACTGGGATTGCTGGCAGAGGCTTATCAGTGGCCATAGTTCACTCACTATAGATGAGAGGGAGGTACGGGGTCCAAACAAACAAAGGCAGGCCTCCTTTTTGTGCGCTGCGCTCTCATTTGAATGCCAGTCTGCGGGTTGGGGAGGAAAATAAGCGCAAAAAATAATAAACAGCTCTAATTCCGCCTCGTTTCGCTTTGCTTCCTACTTCATTTGCAAATTGCAAATTGGAAATTGCAAATTCAGTGAGTTCACTTTGCTTGGCAGGCTACCAAAATCCAAACAGAGTGTTTACTTGCCGAGTTCAATTTCCTCACTCGATATCTATATTTGTATCTTTGTATCCCTCCTATTTCGCTGAAAGGAAAATTCTTTATTCACAGTTTTTGAGTTGTAATTAAGACATTACTTGTAGCTGGGGAAAACTCATGACGAAAGGTGACTTACAAATGCTTAAAATACGGTTTCTGGTTTTTGCTGTAATTTATTCTCACAATTTTAGTGATATTTATTCTCAACGTGTTCTTATTGCTTGATATTACCTCTGAGCTTATAAACAAACAAATGCTCGCAAAAGGGCGGTTCCCATCTTACATTTCTGTTCCTAGCTATGATTTTGAACAGTTTTAAAAATATAATATTAGTATACTTTAAATGCAAAGGCTTAAAAATTAAAAAATATATATATATTTACTTTGCTTAACCTTTGAAATACGTAGATCTCTCTTAATATTCCTCTGGCCAAAAACCAGATTGAAATGAAATTGGGAACAAGACGCAATATCCAATGAACCCCTCCATGCGGAGCCTGTATCAGTTCGATCGCTGAAATTTCAAACAGCAAAACACATTTGTTAGTATGTAAATGAAATTGAGCTAATCAATGTTTGTTTAGCTGGCAATTCACACTCTTTTCCTTTGTGTTTCTTTTTTTATTTTGCCGTCTGCTCTGTCGCCGAGTTGCCAAATTCAACGGATCGGTGCTAAAGTGAGACGCTTTTCTGTATTATTTGTAAGCTCTATATATCGAGAGTGTAATAGGTAATGTATCTTTTGTGTCGATTACCTTTTGTTGTCACAGCTGGTAGAGGATGTGTGTTGCGCCTTTGTTTGAATTTCAAAAGCCAGCTGACAGCTGATTTGCCTATTTACCTCCCTCTGTCGTATTCCTCCTCACTTTGTTTTGATTTAGATTCAAAATTCAGATTGATTTAGCTTCACTCTGTGCAAAGTCTCACCGAGACGTCGAGTTCCTTTGGCGCAGTTGCAGCTGTTTGGGCTTCAGTCCCAGTTCCGTTCTCTGTCTGCTTTATTCGCTGTCGTTGACCCACTTTCAGTACACCTTATGTACACCATATACAAATATATGTACACACACAAAACCCCACGAAAGTGGAGCAATCGGGGAGTGAGCTGGGAGGTAGCAGATAGTTTTGCGTCGCACTACTTACTGTCTTTGTATTTCGGTTTCCCCAAAGTTTTCCCAGCGCGCATATTTATTTATAAAGATTTTGCTCCGTTTTTTCCGCTGGCTGATAAGGTCGTTCCCCGATCTTTGGCCGATCTTCAATCTCTGGCAATCATTTTCAATTAATTGTTTCAGATTAGCTACTAAGGATTGTGCACTAATGCCTTCCGTGTTCCAATCAATTTTCGCGACTTTCGCTTGACATTTTCGCGGCTGGGACATTAACGGATTGCCGTTCGTTCGGGGTAAACACTAATTTATTTAAAGGCTTTGGCTATAAATAACGCTGTCGAAATAGCCTTAGCTCGCTTGGAAGCAGCGATAAACTTCTCCGTATTGTTTTCTGCGGCGTAGACAAGACAACAGCGCGCTAAGTGAATCACCCCGACGAGAGTTAACGAACCTATCTCGTCAGCGGAGGAGCACTTGCGGTTAAGTGCCTTTCGTGGTTCCCCCGAAACGAGTATCGGACTTGCTAGTATCCAACTAGCTAGCTCTGGAGAACTCCCAATGCCGCCGTCTGGTCTGGATTACAGGTCCAGAGAGTCAGCTGGCAAGTTTGCATTCATTGTGTGTGCTATCTTTATGACGTCTGCAGTTCCCTATTTGCATTTCTAGTGATAAATAGAGGCTGATAGGCGTGTCTGCAACGCAATTTGCGTTCACAGATTATTAATATAATTTGCCAGCTTGCTAATTAGAGAGAGAGAGAGGGAGCCTTTGAAACATACGACTGACCGACCGACTGACCGTCCTATCAGCTCCGGATTCCCCTCCTCTCTGATACTCTTTGTGCACGTGCCTCACGCTTGACTAGACTTGGCTTCCATCCCCATCTTTCAGCCTGACTTGCAATTGTTTTCAATTAACAGCACGCTTCATTAAATGATTTCTAATATGGTAGCGCTCGGTTCACGGGTTTACTTGATTGCCGTGTATATATGGAATGGGTCTATTGTTGATTGCTAATAGAGATTGAGGGAATCGCAATGGGTGGTTCGAGTGGATCAGTCAGTCGCCCAGTGAATGATCTACAGCGCATTTGAAATTTGATATGACCATAGGTGTTATTGATCCTCGATCAGCTGAGATTTTGTCTAGCGATTAATGATCTTTGGATGGAAAGGTAATCAAGGTTTTGCCCTGAGTTGATCAAAGGAAATTTTAGGTATTTGATGAAGTTTTAAAACGATACTCTTTCTGTTTTGATTTCTAGGCTAGGAAATTGCAAAACGCTTCTTACCTTTCAATGAACTTTTTCTTAAAAGGTTTATCGTAGTCTTTACATCTAAAAAATGTTAGTTCAAGTTTGACAAGATCTTTGATCACTGCGAGAATTATGAAACATCTGGCTGGCACATTCCGATCCGCCACTTGATGACGACGATGATTCGTCATCAGAACAACCGCAGCCGGAACACGATTTGCATTCGACGTCTCGCGTCGCGTGGCGAGAGTGTTCCGTGGCGGAAATGACATTGAACCCGGCGGCCTGCGTTCCGAATGCACTTGCTCCGATCCGATGGGATCCGCTCAGAGAACGTAGACAGGGGAACCGGTTCCCAAGCAGTTGAGTGAACGTTCGCTCGGCAGGGAACGATGATGATGATTCAGATGATCAAGTGTGCGGCAGGTTAAGATGATCGCTTGTTTAACCCAATTTACAATGCAATTTATTGAGATTTAACCCCATTTTTCTTCTCTCTCCGTTGCAGACAGAACAAAGGAGCAACGCGCCGAGCGGAAAAAGCGGCCAGCAATCGTTACACTGTTTAGCGCGGCAGGGAATGGTATATTTCTTGGGGGATTGGGGCATGGGAGATTCTGACTTGTCGTCATATCAGCAACATGTTCCAAATATACAGCAGCAGCATCAACGTATCCATGGACGTGACTTACTCCTTCATCAACAGCAGCAGCAGCAGCAACAGCAGCAGCAACCTCTGCAGCAGTCCGCACAGCAGCAGCAGCAGCAACAACAACAGCAGCAGCAACAATTTGTGGCACAAATCTCTAGTGGCCTAAGCCAGTTGCAGTCGCAGTTGCAGTTTGCCAGTGGCTCCAACTTCCTGCAGCAAGGCTCTCCCTCGGCAACCTCGGTCTCTCCCACATCCCCCAACCAGCAGCCACTCCCACTTCCACTCCCAACCCAGCAGCAGCAGCAGCAACATGTTGGTCCTGTCAGCAGCAGCTCTCTGGTAACCGCCAATCTCCAGCAGCTGTCGGTGAGCAGCAGCAGCAGCAGCAGTAATAGTAACAGCAGCAGCAACAACAACCACTGCACACCCACCAAACCGCAGCAGCAGTTGCAGCAGCACCACCTATTACCAGATGCAGCTGCCACGCCGGACGCCAAGTCGTCGTCTAAGACCCCGCAGCTGAGCAAGGATCTCCTGGACAATGAGGATGAGGTGGCATTGCACCCGCTCTCCAACCAGGTGAGTAATACATAAAGGGCACAGGGGGAAGGTTACCTTAGCTAAACACAAAAAAATGGCGTCTTAGTCTCCATAATTTAATAATAATAGGAGGAAATGCTGCGCGAACGGTTACATCTTTTTGATTTCGTTGAGCAGGGCGCAGTAAAGGGACTGACAGAACTCCTCGAGACCCGCGTACGCGTTCTTCTCGATAAAGGCCTTGACCACCGCCCACACCGACTTTAGAAACTTGACCTGGGCAAAGACTTGGACGTCCGTGTGGTGTTCTACGGTGGCTCTTAGGCAATAGTGGACCTGGACGACAAATGTATCGGCATAGGGTATATCCTCGTTGACGCTCTCGACATCGATCGAGTACAGTTGCCCGGGCTGGCTGCATTCCCTCATAACCTGCGTCTCTATAACCTTGGCCGTTTTGGGCCCAAGATTCGCTTGCAGCGCCACGGTCACCGTGACAATTCGCTCATTTTGGCCTTTGGCATTGCGCGTCCAGCCTCCCATGGAAAGATCGGTGCTCTTGCGGCGCTCGTGGAAACTCTCCAGGAAGGGTGAGGCTGAGAAAAGCATGTTGAACAGGCGATCGACCCGCACACAAATTCGCTCCTGAAGCACCTTTCGTCCCTCATGGGAGGCACTGCAGCGGGCGGTCAGGTCTTCAAGCTTCAATTTTTCTGGAAAAAGGCGTTTTCTTACATTCTTTGGGGAAGGATGTCGCCTTTGCTCACCGATTGGCCCTAGGTTGTCATGGCTTTGGCTTACGATAGATCGCGTCCTCAGCTGCGTCTTTCTTTTTCGGTTTTCCGTCTGGGTGCCCGTGGTTTGGCCCGTTGGCCTCCGGTTTCCTGACTGGGTGAGTGTCTGCCTGTTGTTCTTGGACAATCTGGGTTGCAGATATGCACCCGTCACTTCCGCTGTTGCCACACGGGGAACGTAGTTATTCATGCTCGTGTGAGTGAGTGCGCCTGCCAAATCTCTGCTCTTGACGGGCCCTGTTCGACTTCATGTCCTAGACCAAAGGTGGTTCTTCCTTGTCATGTTCAATCAAAGCATTGTCTACGAGGCCATAAAAGGAAAATAAAAACAGACTAAACGCACAACTAATTTTGTAATATGAAAAAGGCAAAGTAACTGAGATTCCCAAATTCTCCCAGGTGCCTGTCTGGCTTTGGGAAAGCTCACACTTTCAAAGCCAAGAAGTGATGTCGTAGGAGGCGGCGATAAGATAAGATACCACTCATAATCAGGGTTAGGGCCACGCGCCTTCATCAAGTTCTTGCCGAAATCAGTTAGATTGTGTGTTTTAATAGCGAAAAAAACATCATAATCAAGCGGAAAGTTAAAGCCTATACTTTTTGTTGTTTTGTTTTATAAAAGTTGTATTTTATTTGGTGAGATTTATCAGGTACTTGGCAGGGGATTATTATTTAAAACAAACTATAAATTGTTTTTAAAGTAGAAGCTTAAGAAGTACCATTGTTTTAGGACCACTTCTTAACCAGAATATTTTTCTTAAATAATGTAATTAATTATTATTAATAACTAATTATTTGTTATTATTGCAGGTCGGAGGGCACACACGCCTGTTGCTGCTCAACCAGTCGACGGTGATCAAGCCGCTGAACCTGCGCGAATTGGACTTCTACCAGAACATTCCGCAGGACATACTGAAGTTTGTGCCCAAGTACAAAGGTAAGATACCGACTGTTTCTCCAAACCGAATCAGAAACCGATCAGATCAAACGTTTCAATACCAATTATGTATATCGATTTTGTCGAAGCGCTTCATTTGCTCTCTCGTTTCGAATTAACTAATCTCGTTCTATAAACATATATGCATTTAATGTATATAGAATGAAACATACTGAATCGCGCAAAAGCATTTGTCATGTGTCTTGAGTTCTCAAATCGCCAATTTTTGATTAAATCGAACCTTTTGTTTTTGTACTAACTCTCCGCAACGAAAAACTAAAACTAAAAAACAACTCAAAATCTGTGCGTTTGCTCCTCTTGTATCTCGTCCCTAGATAAAGCCAAGCAATCGCATTCGAATATCATTTTTATTTTTAGTGTATTCTCTCTCTAAAAACTACAACTATACTATATATTTATGTGATATATCCCTAGTCTGTAAGTTGTTTTATTGAAAAATTCAAATAAAAGCCAAGCACAAAAAAGAAAGCAAACAAAAAAATAAAAAAAATACAAAAGAATTGAAAAGAAAAGACTGAATCATATACAAAATAAAATATGTAGCTAACCATATAGCTTTAACGATTTGTAATATTACGAAATCAAAGATCGAAAATAAATAAGAAACAAAAAACGTGTTGTAAGCCGCCACATAATGCCACAGAAACCATACTCTGACTCGACGACGACGACGCCTGGAATAGTCTATATATATAGTCCCAGGTCGCCACCGCCCCCGAACCAGAGACCTTTTTCCGACACAAACCCTTTATATAGTTAGTAGCCAAAATATGGGTAAGTCGTAACACAAAAAATAATCAAATAAACAAAAAACCAACCCAGAAAACTCCAAACCCGAAAGTAAAAAGTAAAGTTAACCAAGTAAAGAACCGCAACTGCCTAAGCTCCTTTGAAGATTGTACAGTTTTTGCAAAGAGAATATAACGACCAGGATAAACTCCTTACCTGCGCATCCATTATATTCTCTCCGGTTTGGCACAAAATTTTACAATCGCCGATATTTGAAGAACCCCTGATGATGCACTCCCCCGATTCGGTACCATTACTTAGAGAAGCTGCTGCCCGGATCGGGGGGCGTGCGCTGCCCCTCCACTACATGTACGTCTATGCTCGTATTATCCAAAGGTTCGAGAGGTGCCTCTGCCTGAGACAGACCCGCTTGCGATCTGCCGACGAACCGAAACCGAAACCGGAGACCGGAGTCCGGAACGAGTCCTCCTCCTCCATGTCGGGCAAGGAGAAAGTCAAAGCCGAAAGTGTAAAGAATCTGTCTGAACAAAGAAAATCGAGTATTATTTTATATGTGTTTGCTCAGTGCTGCCTGCCTCTGCCTCTGCCTCAGCCTCAGCCTCCTCCTTCCCTCGAACGAACGTTGGTTGTGTGTTGTTGTGTGTGTAGTCGTCGTCGCCATCCACCGTCCAAACTCAACTCCACTCCGCTCGTCTCTTTGGATCTTAGGATCTAAGCTCTCTGTCGGTTAGAATGCTGGCCAAAGCCAATGCCAAAGCCAAAAGGGTTTGTATGAATAAAACACATCTACTTTATATTTTACATAAATATTACCAGTTACCAATACGATTACGCTAGTTAAGACGATTGATCCCACTTTCTAAGTACTATAACTACATATATTTATATGTTTAACTGTTTAAGTTGAGGAGTCGAAGGAGGCGAGAATGGATGCCCTTTTGTTTACTTACTTTTGCACCTTGTTAAGGGGTCTCTCTCTCTCTGTTCTGCACCTAGACTAGGAATAGGACTAGCTATAAAACATCCATTTAACCAGTCATAACAATTAAAAGCCGTCTTAATCTGATGCTGGAAAGGAGAGCTTAATAAAGACATTATATTAAAAAAGATGTGTAACACCAAACCTCTTGAAATTTTAAGTAAAAAAACCAGCCTTAAACGTTACTCATCTTATTTAATAAATAGTCTCTCTTTCCACCATTTCCCTGAGCGTGTTTTTTTTTCTGTCTGCTCAAAACCATTTCGTGTGTCGTCTGCTAAACCGCCATATATGCTAACCCAAAAAGGGAACCACGCCGCCTCCATTACCCACATCCTCCGCGTAACCCCAAACCCCATATCCCGCCGTGTCGATTCGATGCTAATACTACATACAACTTACAACCAGATGAGTTAGAGAAGATGAGTGTGTGTGAGCTCCACGACAACTTACTAATCTTTGGCCCCGGCTCGCCTCTTGTGTCTTGTTGCAGGCGTCATGCAGGCCACCACCATGGGCGGAGCCAAGCTGGACAAGCGCTATTCGCCCAGTTTTCGGGAAGAGGCAGCAGCTGTGCCAGTGCGAAAGATGAGCGCCTCCAAGAGGAAGCGGGATGAGGTACTCAGGTACGTGAATCTTGGAGAAATCTCACACTAAATCCCATCCTAACCAGAGATTCCTCTTTGCAGAATGAAGGTGCACAAGAATGGACAAGCAGCTGAGGTGATCAAGAGCATCTCCCAGCTGGACAACACCAATAAGCAATGTAAGTGAACCTCAATTTGATTTATTCCTTCCATAAATAGCTAAAACGTAATCTTTGTCCCTTGCAGACTTCCTCATGCTGGAGAACATCACCTCGCAGTTCCGCAATCCATGCATCCTCGACCTGAAGATGGGCACTCGTCAGCATGGAGACGATGCCTCGGCGGAGAAGCGCTCCAAACAGATGGCCAAGTGCGCGGCCAGCACCTCGGGCTCGCTGGGCGTGCGGCTGTGCGGCATGCAGACCTACCAGGCCGATCTGGAGCAGTATGCCAAGCGGGACAAGTACTGGGGCCGCGAGCTCAACGAGGGCGGCTTCAAGACAGCCCTGCACGACTTCTTTTACAACGGCTACCGGCTGCGCATTCGCGTCATCCGCAAGATCCTGCAGCGCCTGATGCAGCTGCGCCGCGTGATTGAGAAGCAGTCCAGCTACAGGTTCTACTCCTGGTGAGTTGAAGAGCTTCAAAAGTATCCAAGAAGAGAAACTAACCCAGGGCTTTCTGTATTTCCAGCTCCCTGCTCATCGTCTACGAGGGCTTCGAGGAGAACCCGATGGCTCATCCGCCTTCAATGGGTGTGGACGAGTGGCCAGAGGAGGCGCCCAGGTCGGCCACCGTGCCCGGCACCGTGTTTGACTATCATCCGGAAAACAGCATAGACGAAGACGAAGATCTGGAGGATGAAGAGGACGAGGCGGGCCACGAGGCTGGCGATGAACTGGAGCCGCACGACACCGACGAGGATCTGCATCTGGTGGCAGCCGCCGACAGTGGCAATGCCTCGGCCACCAACAGCAGCACAGGCGGCGATGCCTGCAACTACGACGCAGACGCCTCCAACGACTCCAGTTCCATGCTCAATCTGGCCACCCGGCGACACCTGCACAAGCGGGGCTTTGCGGAGGCAGCGGCGCGTGGCGTGAAGCAGACGGCCGCCAGCACCACCACCGATGAGGAGGAGGACGAGGAGCATCCGGCTGCCATGCCGCCGCCACGTAGTTGTGGTGTTATGGCCGCCAAGGCGGCTGCAGCTGCTGCCGCGGCAGCTGGACTGGCCGGGAAGGGCCAGGGCCAGGGCGCATTCATTCCAATCTCCGAAGAAACAGTATTCCTGGACCCAGAGCCGGCGCTGCCCAGCGTGACGACCACCTCATCGCCACATTCCGGTGACTCGTGGATGAACTACAGCAGCAACAGCAGCGACGACTTCTCCGGCCTGTCGGAGCAGATCAAGGCGGTGGCCAGCGGCCGGCAGACGGGCAACAATAGCAGCGACGACGCCAGCTCCGACTACGAGAGCAGCATCATTGGGCCCACGGAGGCCATGTTCAAGCGCTACAAGTCGCAGCAGTCCGAGACCGCCTCCCCGCCCCTCACTGCCGGCAATTCGAGCGTCTCCAACGGCACCAACACCGTCCGCTCGCTGGTCTCGCCCGCCTCTTCTAGCGCCTCGTCCCTCAAGTCGGTCAAATCGGGCGCCGTGAAGCGGCTGCGCTGCAAAGACGACGACGAGCAGACCGCGTCGCTCGGCGAGTGTGAGTCGCGGGAGGCCAAGAAGTCCACGATCACCTCGACTCCGGTTTCGGCCGTGTCCTCGCCGGCAAAGACCGCCGCTAGCGAGAGCATTGCTAGCCAGCAATCCCGGCTGTCCGGACTGCTGCTGGACAACAACGAGCAGCAGCTGCGCCACTCGGCCCTGCTGCTGCAGCACAGCTCCAAGTCGCTGGACATGTCGGCGCCGCCCACCGATGACAGCCAGTGCTTCGTGGACGTGCGCCTCATCGACTTTGCCCACACGGCCTTCGTGCCGCGCAATGGCAGCATGCTGCCCACGCCCGCAGCTGCCCCAGTGCACCATGGACCCGACGGCGGCTTCCTAACCGGCCTGGACAGCCTCAATCGCCTGCTCAACGAGATTCTGGCCGAGGAGGGGATCTAAGAACGCGGGGAAAGAGTACAATTTGATTTCAGAAATACCTAAAAGTGCGTTGAAAATTATGAAAAAAACAAAAACCTAATCTTTAGAAATTCGAAATGTGATTCAAAAGCAAACAAACCTATTTAAAAGCCGGATATAATAGACCTTAAATGTTGTAACTTTTTAACTTTTAAACCAAACAACTCGTAACTTAAGTACAGTAAAGCAGCATTTGTAGAGAAGGAAGGAGAAATGATGGATGGAGGAGGTATCAGAAGGAGATTGTAACAGTCGCTTCCAACAAAAGTAGATGAAAAGTTAATAATAGTTTGATAGATCCGCTTTGCAGCGGACCTAGGATTTAACTAATATGTGGTGAGACCTATTAATATTGTATTGAAGGTGGATCAAGCGTTTTTATACAACTTAGCCATTACAATACACTACAAAAATACAAAAGGAATATAAAAACAAGTGAAGGAGGATGCAAAATGACAAAGAAAAGCGACAGCTAGAGCGCAAGGATCAGTATTTCGTTGAATGTAAACTATGCTTAAAGTCTCTTAGCCCGTTTCCTTTTCCAATTTGTAGCGACGTTTCGGAAATCGCCAGAGTTTACTATATAAATATAACTGAAATAAACAAACACAAACATTTTTAAGTTAATCGTTTAAAGAGAGAAGGAGAACGCTATTAATACATAAATAATATATATTATATAGATCCTACAAATATTACTATTACTGTATTGTGTAATTAGAGAATTAAATGGATAAACATTTTGATGTATATTTTCACTTACGCACGTTTCAAAAGATTACAACAAATGTTCTACATACTTTAATGAAAATAAATAATAAAATGAATAATCATCTTTCGTTTTTATTTTTTAAAATTGGCGCCAAGGTAGGCAGGGTTTCGTGGTATTTTTTAGTTATTTTAAGCGATATATCGATAAATCAGCTATATCGGTGCTATCGCATTCGTTCATCCCTTAGACGATGTGTTTGCAATACAAATTTATTTTTAAAAACTCGCCGGGAACGCCAAAATCTCAGCGCAAATTTTTAATTTTCCCTTTCTGAATACCAGGCGATCAGAAGGCAGCAGTAGGTAATTTTCGTATAATTAATAGTCGAGTTTCAAACCATGACACATCAAATCGCTAGTCATGTTTTCAACCGTGGATCGTATTCATACTTTTGGCCATCCGTTGCAATTAAAACTTCTGTTTAAATATTCGCTGTTAACGTTGCTTGCTGCTGCGTTCTGGGAGCCTGGTGCATGCACTCGTGCATTTTTAAAATTTTAACTGCCATGAAAGTCCGGTGAAGCCAAAATCTCAGTGCAAATTTTTTATTTTCCCTTTCTGAATACCAGGCGATCAGAAGGCAGCAGTAGGTAATTTTCGTATAATTAATAGTCGAGTTTCAAACCATGACACATCAAATCGTTAGTCATGTTTTCAACCGTGGATCGTATTCATACTTTTGGCCATCCGTTGCAATTAAAATTTCTGTTTAAATATTCGCTGTTAACGTTGCTTGCTGCTGCGTTCTGGGAGCCTGGTGCATGCACTCGTGCATTTTTCAAATTTTAACTGCCATGAAAGTCCGGTGAAGCCAAAATCTCAGTGCAAATTTTTAATTTTCCCTTTCTGAATACCAGGCGATCAGAAGGCAGCAGTAGGTAGTTTTCGTATAATTGATAGTCGAGTTTCAAACCATGACACATCAAATCGTTAGTCATGTTTTCAACCGTGGATCGTATTCATACTTTTGGCCATCCGTTGCAATTCAAATTTCTTTTTAAATATTCGCTGTTAACGTTGCTTGCTGCTGCGTTCTGGGAGCCTGGTGCATGCACTCGTGCATTTTTCAAATTTTAACTGCCATGAAAGTCCGGTGAAGCCAAAATCTCAGTGCAAATTTTTTATTTTCCCTTTCTGAATACCAGGCGATCAGAAGGCAGCAGTAGGTAATTTTCGTATAATTAATAGTCGAGTTTCAAACCATGACACATCAAATCGCTAGTCATGTTTTCAACCGTGGATCGTATTCATACTTTTGGCCATCCGTTGCAATTAAAACTTCTGTTTAAATATTCGCTGTTAACGTTGCTTGCTGCTGCGTTCTGGGAGCCTGGTGCATGCACTCGTGCATTTTTCAAATTTTAACTGCCATGAAAGTCCGGTGAAGCCAAAATCTCAGTGCAAATTTTTTATTTTCCCTTTCTGAATACCAGGCGATCAGAAGGCAGCAGTAGGTAATTTTCGTATAATTAATAGTCGAGTTTCAAACCATGACACATCAAATCGCTAGTCATGTTTTCAACCGTGGATCGTATTCATACTTTTGGCCATCCGTTGCAATTAAAACTTCTGTTTAAATATTCGCTGTTAACGTTGCTTGCTGCTGCGTTCTGGGAGCCTGGTGCATGCACTCGTGCATTTTTCAAATTTTAACTGCCATGAAAGTCCGGTGAAGCCAAAATCTCAGTGCAAATTTTTAATTTTCCCTTTCTGAATACCAGGCGATCAGAAGGCAGCAGTAGGTAATTTTCGTATAATTAATAGTCGAGTTTCAAACCATGACACATCAAATCGCTAGTCATGTTTTCAACCGTGGATCGTATTCATACTTTTGGCCATCCGTTGCAATTAAAACTTCTGTTTAAATATTCGCTGTTAACGTTGCTTGCTGCTGCGTTCTGGGAGCCTGGTGCATGCACTCGTGCATTTTTCAAATTTTAACTGCCATGAAAGTCCGGTGAAGCCAAAATCTCAGTGCAAATTTTTTATTTTCCCTTTCTGAATACCAGGCGATCAGAAGGCAGCAGTAGGTAATTTTCGTATAATTAATAGTCGAGTTTCAAACCATGACACATCAAATCGTTAGTCATGTTTTCAACCGTGGATCGTATTCATACTTTTGGCCATCCGTTGCAATTCAAATTTCTTTTTAAATATTCGCTGTTAACGTTGCTTGCTGCTGCGTTCTGGGAGCCTGGTGCATGCACTCGTGCATTTTTCAAATTTTAACTGCCATGAAAGTCCGGTGAAGCCAAAATCAGTGCAAATTTTTTATTTTCCCTTTCTGAATACCAGGCGATCAGAAGGCAGCAGTAGGTAATTTTCGTATAATTAATAGTCGAGTTTCAAACCATGACACATCAAATCGTTAGTCATGTTTTCAACCGTGGATCGTATTCATACTTTTGGCCATCCGTTGCAATTCAAATTTCTGTTTAAATATTCGCTGTTAACGTTGCTTGCTGCTGCGTTCTGGGAGCCTGGTGCATGCACTCGTGCATTTTTCAAATTTTAACTGCCATGAAAGTCCGGTGAAGCCAAAATCTCAGTGCAAATTTTTAATTTTTCCTTTCTGAATACCAGGCGATCAGAAGGCAGCAGTAGGTAATTTTCGTATAATGAATAGTCAAGTTTGAAACCATGGCATTTCCAATTGGCAGTCGAGTTTCAAACCATGGAATTTCCAATTGTCAGTCATGTTTTCAACCATGGATAGTATTCACACTTTTGCGATATATCGATAAATCAGCTGTTAGGGTGTTATCGTCAACCGTTCATCCCTAGGCAACTGTGCGTATTTATTGTATTTTATATTTTTGTCAATTTTTTCTTAAAATAACGCTGTTAAGGTGGGATAAAGCCGCTTTAAAAGCAAGATAAGAAGGCTGCGCTTTCTGTCTTACAGTTTTACAATTGACAGCGGGCCTCAGCTTGACAAACGTAAACATTCTTATGTAATTCTCGGGGGCTAGAGGTTAAACCGCTTTCTGGAGCACACTAACGCTTCTTTCCCGAATTCCAGCGCAATAAATATGGGCGGACATCATCACGGTGAACCCTACACAGTGCCGCATGCCTCCACCTACAAGGTGGAGAATGTGCCCCAACTCGTGGAGGTGAAGGAGGCGCTCGGCCGCCAGGGACTGAAGGATCCATGGCTGAGGTGAGTGTCCTAATCCGACGATGAACTCTGGCAAACATACTACCTTTACTTCCCCGTAGGAACGAGGCCTGGCGCTACGAACCCAAGGCCTTTGGCACGCACAGATCCCGCCTGACCACCTTCATGTTCCGCGGCCTAGGAGTCGGATTCTGCGCATTCCTGGCCACCGTCGCCGTGGAGTATGGCCTGGGCATTGGCAAGGGCCAGGGCGGCCATGGACATGGTCACGGCCACGATGAGGGACACCATTAAATAGCTAATTGATTAAACTTTGTCGAACCCGTTCATTCGCAGTACATATATGGGATTTCACTAAAACTAAAAAAGTCTTCCGATCAGTTAATGCGGGGCTTCAGCTCGTCGTAGCAGGAGCGCAGGAAGATCTGGGGTTTCTTGGCCGGGTTAAAGTACTCGTGGCCCTTGGACCAGTCGTAACCCACGGCGTAGGCAAAGATCTGGCCGTTCGCGTTGAAGCCGCACTTTGTGATAGACTGATCCATGGCCTCGCTTGACTTCAACTTGGTGCGGGCATCCTTGTCCCAGAAGCTGAAGGTTCCGTCGGAGCCCACGGTCACCAGAGTGCCGTGAACCGGATGGAATGCAATGTCGTTGACGGCGTAAATGTCCTGGAAACCCGTGGTGCCCGTGGTCCGGTGGCACTTGAACGTGAAGTTGTCTTTGGGATTCGCCGGGTTCACGTACTGAATGGCCACGCGGCCCTCGATGCTGCCCAGGGCGTAGCCGGTGGGCTCCTTCTTCTTGTCCTTGAAGATTGATATGGTGCGATGCTGGTACTTGAGCGGGCTCTCCTGCCGCTTGTACTCCGTGGGGCTGTTCTGCAGCGAGTATATAATGAGGCCTCGGTTGGCGGTGCCCACCACGGCCATGGGGTAGTCCACGTCGGCGCAGTAGCAGCGCTCGGGCAGGTTGATGGCCATCATGGGGTTGGGCGACCGCGTGTCCCAGAACTGCGATCACAAAGAGGAGAGTTCAACATGTTGTTGCCCATGATGGATGCTTGAGTTTCGCTTACCTTTAAGGTCTTGTCCCAGGAGCCGGTCATCAGGCATGTGTAGTTGGTACCCTTGACCATGTGGCACGTCCTCACTGGGCCGTCGTGGGCCGCCACCTGCATGACTTGGTCGGAGGCCAGGTCCCAGAGCTTGACCTGCTTGTCGCAGGAGGCCACGAACACCTTGCTGCCGTCGTCTGACCAGCACACGTCCAGCACCGGCCCGCCCATCGTCTTCATCGACTTGGGCACGGTGGCGCCATTCTGCTCCACCTCCCAGCAGCGGACGCTGTTGTCCCAGCTGCCGGCAATGAGGAAGTTCTTCTGCAGCGTGCTCGGGCTGAATTCCAACGCCGAAACGGAGTCGTCCGGGGGCGAGGCCACCTCGAAGTCGTTCATCCGGTTGTTGGATTGCGTGGCGCCAAACATTATTTTGTGCTTCAGGTGTCGCAAAATGTTTGTTTTATTTCAATTTCTTATTTAGAGATTATTTTTTGTATTCTTCCCATTTGCACCAAACAATGCAATTTTATCGATAACCATAGAGCTGCGTTGCCACCTTTTAGAAATATAGAGGTTGTGGTGAAATTCACCACATACTATGAAAAAGGTGGCAGCACTGAGCGATATTATTTTCGCGGTGAAAATCGATGTTTAAAATAGCCATAACTAAGCCAAAAAACAGCATGTTATTTTTTAATTCAGTTACCTAATATGTATATTAAGTATAAAAATGATACAAATTCAAATTGTTTTTAATTTTTTACAGTTTTAACGAGGTGCTTATAGTCGAAGTTGAAAAAACGTAAGGCTTTGAAGTGAAGTCATTGGTGGAGCAGCTGCAGCCTAAACTGGGTGACCTGATGACCAACGAAAAACTATTAATATTATCAATTTAAGCTACAGGGAACTCACCAGAGCCTTGGCCAAAGCGAAACAAGAGGTTTGCCCGTCTACCTTTATATATAAAATAAATAAATAAATAAATATAAATTAATGTTGTAAATGGCTTAAGCCTTCATGAAATATTTAAATTCTTTAAATAGGTATTTAACCTATTTTTATATGATAATTTTTTATGCTAAGCAAAGCTTAAAAATCTCATAACTAAGTCAAAAACGCATCAAATTCAAATCGGAAAGCGCTTATATGCTAGTTTTTTCTAGGCTAACAAATCTGCATATTAAATTAAAAAATTTTAAAAATCCAAATTTTTCGCAATTTTAATGATGTAACCCCTTAGAAAATTTTGAAAAATTAAAAAATTTTTTTTTCTTTCTAAAATGGCCAGAAAGATTAGCCTGTTCATGCTGATCAAGAATATATATGGTTTATAGGGTCGGAAATGGCTCCTTCACTGCTTTGCAAGCTTCTGACTGAAATTATAAAACCCTGCAAGGGTATAAAGGAATTCCCATTATCCTAATACAGGACATGTATTTATGGGTATAAAGTTATGATTTTAATATGAAAAACTATTAAAAACAAGTACAGTAGTAATACTTTTAGTAAATAAATCATATCCTAAACTTGGTTCCTTTCTGACTTCCTTGAATTGTCCAGAAAATACAACTTCGCCTCTGTTAATTTCTCACCTGCCTGTCACTGTCTCAGTTGAGTGCAAAGGTGGCATGGCTCACGACGAATTTCGGTAATGTATTTGTGGCTTTTGTATTCCGCTGTCACCGTGAACAAAAAAATCCCCGAGAATTGATATTCGGCACTGGAAAGTAACCGTAACCAAGGGCACCGCTCCGCCAACCCATTGAAAAGCGAAATTTAATTAATTAATCGCAACAACGATAAAGAGACGTGTTTGCTGGGTACTTTTTAGTTTGTGACCCCAGAAAAAATGGGTCATTGGTCATTTCTGAGATGACATTGCATCAGAATCGGAATTCGCAGTGATTAATAAGACAATTCTCGGAAGTTGTGACTGGAAAGCATGAGATAATGGAGCCCCACTCGGTTATGCTGAGGAAAAGCAATGTTGGTTGGGTAGTTTACACAGCTCCAGTGAAAAATGTGAAGCACTTGAGAGGTCAGGGGATTTTTCTTGCCTTATAAAGAAAAACAGTTTGTTTTTACAAGGTATTTTCTGATTATATACATTTTCTATTTATTTTTGATTATTATAGTTTAGTATTCATTCTCGGAATGAAGCTCTGGCATTTTGTTCTTTGTGCGTAGGTTTTTGGCTATAAATAAGTCACTCCTTATCATAATCGGGGGACATTATTGTTTTAGGCTAAATATGGTCATGATGAATATATATATTCTAGACTAGCGACGTGGCGTTTGTGGTAATACTCTAGTTGTAGCAGTCGAAAGTCACAGATAAGACTAATTGCAGTCGGTAGGAACTGGGCAAGAGTTGCAGCAATACGATTCTGGGATTGATACACTAATCTTTGGCCTCTGACTAGAGATCGAGCTCCCCTCCTCCGCCTGGTTCTAAATGCTCACATTGATGGCATTCTTGATCACAATGTTGCCGGACACTCCGTGCTCGATGGTGAGATTGCTGTCGATCTCAATGCCCGCGGAGGCCTCCTTTGGCTTGCTCTGGGTCTTCGGAGATCGCGTGCTGGGCTTTTGCTTCTTGTTGCCGCTCAGATCCAGGGACCTGACCACCTTCAACAAGCCATTGCAGCCCGTGTAGTCCACGGCCTGCTGCGGCGACTCGCTGCCCAGGTAGATGCGTCCATTGTTGCCGGTGTACTTCAACGATCCGCTATTACTCTGGATCTTGAGGCGGGTGCCGTTGCCAATGATCTGCAGGCTGCCGGAATTGCTGACTATCCGTATCCGGTTGCCGTTGCCAATGATGCGCAGATCCCGCGAGTTGTTCTCGATGCGATACTCCTTGTGGTTGCCCACCAGATCCTTGCTGGCGTAGATAGTGGTTTCCGGGGGCGGAGTACTCCGCTTGGTTTTAGGGACTTTACCCTGCGCCTTCTGGCATGTGGAGCAGTCGTCATCGTCGTACGAATCGCTGGCCGAATCGGTCTCTATCACACGAACGCCCATGTTTTTGTGTGTGAATTACCTCAGTTTTCGCTGTGGTTGCTGTTGCTGCTGCCTGTTGTTGTTTCTTTCCGCTGCTAATCACTCGCAAAAATCACCGTCTCTTCTTCGCTTTTCAGTTAGCTCATTCTCCGGCTCTATCGGTGTGGTTTCTATCTCTCTCTGCTTTGAACTCTCCTCTCTTTCTCAGGGGGAACTCTTCACGTGATGAGCAATCCGTTGGTTGTCACAGCTGCTGTTTAAGGTCAAAATATCCAATTGTTGTGTCTGCTTCCGTTGGGGGAACTCCCTCTCTGCTGGCTTTTTACGTATTTTACGGGTTTGCTTTCGCTTTGAAATCGCGGAAATCGCGACTGCTGCTGCTGTGTGTTTAGGGAACGCTGGCGCTTTGGCTATTGGACGATATCGCCGCCTGTAGAGCCGCTTTTATACCAGCCGAACGGCTCTACGCCGGGGCTTTTTTATTTCGCCTGAGGGCCGGCACGGAAATCACCTCGTAGGCCTGAGAGTATCGAATTTTGAGACACTCTGCCACCTGCGGGGGGAGACACCTTTGATAAGGTCTTTTTTGGTCTTTTGTTTTTGGTTTTTCTTTTTTTTGGTGTGACTAAGCGCCACCACCTGTTGGTGTGGCCCATTGTAAGGGGTTTGGCTATCTCTGCCCATTGGCCAGGCTTATTCACAGCTGTACATCCTAGGATTTTTACACAGAAACTACATTTTTAGCACCGAGAAACTACTTGATGTAGTTATATATAAAAAAACTGTACAAAATATATAATATAATCTTTAAATACGTATTTATCCTAATTTTTATATGATAATTTTTTATGCTAAGTAAATCTTAAAAATCTCATAACTAAGTCAAAAAAGCATCAAATTCAATTTGGAAAGCGTTTATGTCAGTTTTTTATAGTTTAACAAATCTGCATATTAAATTAAAAAATTTTAAAAATCCAAATTTTTCGCAATTTTAATGATGTAACCCCTTATAAAATTTTGAAAAAATTAAAAAAATTTTTTCCTTTGCAAAATGGCCAGAAAGATTAGCCTGTTCATGCTGATCAAGAATATATATGGTTTATAGGGTCGGAAATGGCTCCTTCACTGCTTTGCAAGCTTCTGACTGAAATTATAAAACCCTGCAAGGGTATAAAGGAATTCCCATTATCCTAGTACAGGACAGGTATTTATGGCTATAAAGTTATGATGTTACTATGAAAAACTATTAAAAATAAGTACTGTAGTAATACCTTTTATAATTAAATCATATACTGATCTTAGTTCCTCCTGACTTCCTTGAATTCTTCAGAAAATACACCTTCGCCTCCGTCGATTTCTGACCTGCCTGTCACTGTCTCAGTTGAGGGCAAAGGTGGCATTGCTCACTACGAATTTCGGTAAAGTATTTACCCATATATCCTAGATAATAAAGATATAAATAAAATGTATTGTTAAGTAAAAAGTACTTATTTAAATTTAATTTCTTAAAACATATTCCCAAAAAATATATTAAATATTTCAGCCTTTACAGTTTTATTGAATTTTCTTTGCTCCAAATAAGACTATAAACTTTATTCCAAACTCATTTCTCTTGGTGTAACCTTTCCTATACCCTATTTTACTTATCAGCAACCGAAGTGCAGCTGAAGTTCGGTGGGGATTTTTGGCCAACTTCCCCTGTTATCATTATTGTTAAGTCCCTTGATATGGGTCGTAAACGTGAAGCCAAAAAAATGCCACATAATTAGAAGAACCTCCCAACAAAAAAAAGGGTAATAACCCTCCAACACTCGAAGCGATAAGACGATAAAGTTTTCCACACAAGAAAAAGGCACTCTTGTATGTAGAATAGCTAATAAATACTTGAAGCCCAGTTGCCAGGTGATACCACATATACAAGATCGAGAAATCGTTTACTCGGGACTCTGGTTTATTTACAAACAAACAAAAAACCTCTATATATAGCAATTTGCACAATTTACGCTCCAAAAAGCTTCCCGTTTCGAGTCGCTTCTCCAGCTCTCCAGCGCTCGTTTCAAGTTCAGCTTGGCTTTTCGTTTTCAGTCGGCTGCCAAGATCGGTGGCGAGCGGAACCGGGCACTAAATACAGATCAAGATCGCGCCATTTGAATAAACACAAACTGGAGGAGAATCGGGAATGTAAACATTTGTGCCAATGCGGGGAAAGCACCGGAGCTATATATGTAGCCTATAAAGGCATAAATAAAATGGCTTGCACTCACTAACAGCTGCCCAGTTGCGTAAACGTGAAACGTAAACGTGGAAGTTGCTTATTTTCTGGGTGCATATTTGTTGACAAATCAATTATTATTATTATAAAATGATTTATTTGCTAGATCGCAATTTTAGGGCAGTAAACGGGGACTTTTTCTGCAGCTATCTCGACACCAGTCAAAGTCAAAATTGCAAAAGTAAATAAAAAAATTAATAATAAAAGCCTTATTAAGTACAAATCGACAAATGTTATATCAGCTGGATCGTAGTACCAGATACGCTTCAATTACAAAACCTGTAGGAACTAACTACTGGGTGTGTAATAAACACACCTGATGTGTGGTATGGAGAAATGGTTTTCTGGTTTAGAAAAACCCCCTGAATATACTATCTCAGCTATCTAGCACGCTTCCTAATGCCCGTGTACTAATGCCCCCAAACGTTGAAAATAAATAAAAAATCACCGATGCCCAACAGGTTTTATCTGCCATTTCGGATCGGAGAGCGATGAGAGGCCTTTGCTTGTTGTTTCCCAAGTTCCCAAATTAAATAGACTTAATGTTGTGAGTTCGCTGACAGACAGTTGATAAGGTGCGAACAGCTCTGGCACGGAGCTTGTGTTGGAGATAAACTAATAAATGACCTCTTAACGAGGTAACAACTTGCCGAAAAACAAGTACAAATACAAAGGGAAAGTGTGCTAGAGGGTATTATAATTTAGATTAGAAAAGCTATTGATTGCCGAAAATCATAGATATTTAGATTCACCATTCAAATTCAAATTAATCAATAACGAAATAATTGAAATTTTTGAAATCCAGGCGTCTTCATCATAAAATCATTAAGGAACACTGGCTTACTGATGTGGTAAGATTCGACAAGAATTCAAGAGATTCAAGAAATTCATGTATCTTTAAGATATATTACATTATTCTTAAGTCCATCCTAAACAAACATATGTTTTTTGCCATTCGCCAGTATAAACAATAAACTCATCACTAACTTTGTGCTTTCAATATGAGCTTTCTCAGGGAACCTATTTCATTAGTAAACAATTAAAACAAATTATAAAACAATTGCCCGTAAAGTCAGAAATATTATTTGGAAACAGTTCTATAATGACCTCAAAATCCAAAGTATTTGCTATCGGAACTGAATCCTGTGCAATTATAGAAGAAACTCCGATTCGCAAGAGCAAGAAGGCGTATTTTGAAGACCACTTGGAGCACCATTTGGAGCAGCACCTGCAGAAACTTCTACTGGATGGTGCCAGACCACTAACCACCGTTTATTTAGATAAATCAGTTGAAACCTTTTCTGCCAAGGACATAAAGAAAAACGGACGATATTATTACGAGTTTGGTCCGGGCGATAAGATAAATGGCTGGATGATAAATGGGCCTGCCTTTGAGCCCAAAGGTATATTGAGTCGTGTCAAGGAGAAGATCAGCAAGGACCATTGGGTCACCGATAATGTGGCAAGATATAGTAAAGATTCCAGAGATTTTATACTTCAAACGGTTTCCAAATCCTTAGATGAGGAGAGTGCTGACATATATCAGTATTTGTCCTATCTGAATGATAATTGTAATAACACTTAATCAAAATATCGTACTAGATCCACCCTAATTTAAAAAAACAGCTGCTAAATACCATTCACCCAAAGTTATCAACAAAAAAGTGCCATCGCTAATGTTGAGCTTTTGAATCATTTCATTTGTAAATAAATACAAGCTATAAATACAGCAAAACACATCAGTTACTCGTAAGTTGAATGAGTTTTATTTCAAAACTCTCCTTTATATCAGATATTTTTCAGAAACCAACATGACTTCAAACATCAGAGTTTTGGCTATTGCCACCGAGACCTCGGAATCATCAGACAAACCCCCCAAAACCAGTAACCCAAAGGCATACTTTGAGTTTGACTTTGAAAAACACATGCAAAAACTACTTCTAAATGGCGAAAAACCACAAAAACTAGATGAGAATGCCATTGAAAGATTCGCCGCTACGGAGATAATGAGAAATGGCAAACAGTATTACGAGTTCGGGCCTGACAATTTTAAATCTCGAGCCATAATAAGCGGACCTGCGTTTGATCCCAAAGGAGTTCTCCCACGGGTTAAGGATAGAATCAGCAAGGAGCATTGGGTTAACGAAAACGTAATTCAGTATCGCAAGAATTCAATGCAATATATACAACAAATTGTTTCGGAGGCCCTACGAGAGGAAGAAAGGGAAATCTGTGAATATTTGTGTTATTTGAATAAGAATTACATTAAATGAAGATCTAGTGAACTTTAGTTTTAATTTGATAAATCTTTATAAAAAAATAAACATAATATTTATAAAGAATGGGCTTTTACTTTGAGCTTTTTGTTTGAACTGTTTGTGGAATTATTCTCAACTATCTTTCAACGTTTAGTATTCAAAGATCAGTCAAAAGGAAACAACATACTTGTTAAGAACCCTTACTTAAGCCATGGCTAAAGTAAACGTCGATACATTTCCATCCATTCTAAGCAAAGTAATGCTGAAAAGCAGCATTCCACCTGGTCCCCCGAACGATGACATTTGGATTTACACCCAAATCCTGTGTTTCCTGTATATGGAAAAGCCTGCCACTCGAAAGTGCGTCTACCATATGTTCCTGTCCACCGAAAAGTACAAGCAAAATGATTTCGATCGTGTACGCAAAATGTACGAGAATAGAAAGGACTTGCAGATAGTTGACCAGTTAACGGAAAACGCACTCTGTGCGAGGACTCTTTATCGTAGGGTTCAGAAAATGTTTCCAAAGGCTATTTGGAACAAGCAAGGCAATGTTTTCGAGGTGGATATGTCCGCAAAAAACGATCCCTGGGCAATATCTAGAAGACTTAATAAGAAGCGCGACGAAGAGCATGAACTACTATTCAACTACATAAAGTATTTGAGCGTTACAAAGGATTGATTAAATCTTAACTTATTATTTAAATTAATAAACAAAATAAACAATGTTAAAATCTATAAACAAATGTATATTTTTTAATCATTCAACTGAAATTGTAAACAAAAGCTTATGACTAATGTAAAGCTTTTGAACTTCATGTGAAATAACAACCAAACTTTAGGTTTGCCGAACAATTTAGTATTTAAGCAGACGTTATAGAAGAAAGTACAAACATTAGAAGAAATAGTCATGGAGTCTATAACTCAGGAAAATAATAAATCTAGCTCGGTGTCAGCCAATTCACCAGTGATAAATATATCCGGAAAAGTGGAACCAAAACAAAGCCCTACCCGAGGGAAAAAGAAGCCGGTTTCTGCTCCTCCTCCCCCGGAACCTGTGATTGCTGTGGCTCCAAAAATCAATCCAGCAACGTTTCCTGTGATTTCCAGTAGAATCCTCCTTAAGGCAGACGTTCCCCCAGCAGCAGTCCCCAGAATAAATCCATCAGACTTTGACCAATATCTGTGCTTTTTGTGCCTGGATAAACCGGCTACTAGGAAGCGAGTGTACCACATGTATCTCTCAAATGAAAAGGACCTGGAAAGGGACACGGAACGCGTTCGAAAAATGTACGATAATAAAAAGGACCTAAAGATTGTTGATAGGACATTCATGGTAACACTCTGTGCCCGATCCCTGTGCCACAGAGTTCAAAAGAAGTTGACCGATGTGGCTTGGAACAAGCAGAAAAATATTTTCGAGACTGATTGGATTGGAGAAAGGGATGTTTGGAATCTATCAGAGAGAATATACAAGTTGCAGTACGAGGAACTGGCAAAGTTTTTCAATTATATCAAGTTTCTGAGCGCCACAAATAGCTAGCTAGCTGGTTAATTTAATAAATAAATAAACATAAATTTGATTTCTTTTATACTTGTAATATGTTTTCAAGGTTCACCCTAATTGATGTTGTTTACCTCCAAACAGTCACAGTTATCGCCAATGTGTCATCCCCAATTGTAAGCTCCAAAAGCTCCAAACTTGGATGTTGTGAAATATTTACCATTTCGAGTTTATACAAAACAATTCGTCCATTAAATAGAGTGTCTTTAGCTCTGCAAATTTCAGTATTCCTAAAAACTTAACTTACAAAGTACACAACCTGCGCAAACACAAGGCAAACCATGGAAGCTGAGGACCAGGACCTGTATTATTACTTTCCACCATCACCATCTACCAGTGCCCCCAAGACTGAGTCACCGGTGCTGAATATTTCCGGAAGAGTAAAGCGCGATCCGAATGCCCCCCGTAAAAGAGGCAAAAAGAAGGCAGCTCCGGCTCCAGAAGCGCCCAAAGTCAATCCCACGACATTCCCGGTGATTCTAAGCAGGATCCTGCTCAAGACCAATGTTCCAGCTGAAAACTCACCAAAGATAAACGACGGTGACTACTCACAAAAGCTGTGTTTCCTCTGCCTCGAGAAGCCGGCCAGCAAGAAGCGTGCCTATCACATGTTCCTGTCAAACGAGAAGGATCTGGGCAAGGACTATGAGCACACCAGGCGGCTCTACGAGAACCGCAAGGAGTACAATTATGTGAACAACATCACCGTGGAATGCCCCTGTGCGCGAGCCCTGTACCGCCGTGTCCAGAATGAGTTCACAGAATACCAGTGGAACAAGCTGGGCAACGTTTTCGAGACGGACATGATAGGAAAAAGCGATGTTTGGAGCATCTCAAGTCGAGTGTTCGCAATGCGCGTCGAGGAGAACGAAAGGCTGTTCAACTACATTAAGTTCTTGAGCTCAACGAAGAGCTGAATACAAACAATAGATTTAATATTTTACTTACGCCAACATTGTATTAGTTTTTCTTTTGTATTAAACCGCTTTCTGTGATTAGAGCAACTTCCTGTAGCTTATCTTGAACTGGGTGAACCCGTAGTGGCTCAGCAGCTGCTCCAGTATGTAGCCGTTTGCGGCAAAAAACACGCCACCCTGCAGCCCGATCCAGTAGAAGGTGTTCCACGTGCGGAACTCCAGCAGATAGGCGGGCAGCAGCCACAGTCCCTGGGCGAGCAGCCAGAGGATTAACAGGCCGAAGCATCGACGCCACGACAGCAGCTTGAAGTTGTTTAGGCACAGCGGCAAGATGGCCAAGTACCAGATGAAGTACTGCGATGTCACCACCGAGTTGTAGGTGACCACCACGAAGGCCACGGCGAAGATGCAGAACGGCAACGTTTGCCGGAACTGGCCGAAGCTCAGGCTCAAGTGCAGGATGAGCAGGAACTGCGGCGCCATCACCAAGAGCTTCAGGAAGAGCGAGGGTTCCACCGCACTCGTGGCGCTGCCCAGATACTGCAGCAGGAACTGCAGCGAAAAGTTGTGGCGCGGATCCTTGCGCACAAAGTGATACAAGTAGGCCTCGTAGATGTACTCCCAGCCGTACATCCTGTAAAAGGTCCAGGTGAAGGCCACCAGACTGACCAGGGTTCCGATGACCAGGCACAGCTGTTGTCTGTTGGGGCGCAGAACTTGGCCCAGAAAATCCCAGGGAGTTTGTGTGAGACGCGTGGACAGCGACAGATAGTAGGCCAGACTGAAGAGCAGCGGATACAGCCGGAGGTGGATCACCAGGCCGTGGGCTAGGCCGGCCCCGAAGATCAGCCAGTGGCTGTGTGAGCCCTTGTGCTCCGCCTTCAAAAGCAGATAGATGGTCAGGATCACAAAGAAGCTCGAGAAGCAGTCGCCACTGCCGCGGGTGGATATCACAGCGGTGAGCGGATTGTACAGCCAGAAGCAGGCGGAGGCGCGGGCCAGGTTCTCCGGGTGACTGCGCTCGTCCAAGGCGTCCAGCGACTGATCCGACTCCTGCGGCCGGTTGAACTTGCTAAGCAGATGCTGCACGGTCTTCTGGTACTGGCTCTTGATCTCCATGTGCACAAGACGGTAAATGAGCGTGGCAATGATCAGATCAAAGGTGGCGTACAAGAGCTTCCCCCAGGCGGGATGGAGCAGGATGTTGAGGGTCTGCAGGTACGCCATAATCGGGCTGTAGCGGTAAGTGTGCCTGGCGAAGGGCGTCTCCCCGGCCAGCACCTGTCGCGCCCCGTCCGTGACCACTTTGTAGTCGATGTCTGTGTAGGGCACGGCGGACCGGCTATCATGTATTTGGCCGTAGCAAATCAGAGCGATGCGCAGCACCGCCGAGATCAGGATGTGGGTGCGAAAGCTGGTCTGCAGGATGCGGCGACTTAGTCGCTGCAACCCAGTGGCATTCGCTGGCTTCGCTTGCGTCATTTTCTTAGTTTTATTGATTGATTTTTGGCTTACAGCTTGGTCTTCATCTCCTGGGCGCTCTTGCGAATGCAGGCGAGGAACTCCTTGAACTCGGCGTCGCAGATCTTGTGCTGCACGTTCAAATCCCGCGACACACACACCGCATACGCCGTGGCCTTGTCCGCGCACTTGGTCAGCAGGAGCGGGTAGTTGCGAAGACGTTGATTGGCCTTGCGCACCGATTCCATGCCGCTCAGCGCTTGTGCGGCGGCACCTTAACCTCTAGCGGCGGCAGGGGATCGGCTATAAAGCAGTCGTACAGGGGCTTGGAGAAGAACACCAGCAGGGAGCCGGTGAGGAAGGTGATCTGGAATAGGCGTGGATTGCGCTGGATCCACGAGCGTTTGGGCAGCACGGCCGTTCGCCGGCGTTGATTGTTGGCCTGTTGCTGCTGTTGCTTTTTGTCTAGCAAGTCTTGGATTTCCTTCGGTGGCTTGTATTGCGGTAAGGACATTATTTTTTACTGTCAAACAGGGAGAGTGTACGGTGAAGCCTGGTTTGAGAAGAACTCTGTTAAACTCACGACTTGCCGGATGGTTGCTTCTCCTCTGGCAAATAGCGCTTCTCCAGATCGATTCCACTGCAGCAGACGGATACCTTATGCCACTTTAGACAGCACTGGCGCATATCCTCCAGGACATCCAGGCACTTATCCTCCTGGTAGTTATTCTCTGAAATCATTATGAGCCGCTTACATAACTGGGAAAATGCGCTCAATGCGATTACTTACTGCTTAGACAGGCTTGTATGCGGCAGGCGTATGGTTTGCAACGGTCCTTGCGCGTGTCAGACATGAAACTTTCGCCTTATTTCGTTTATTTTTGGGCAAATTGCTAAATGTTAAAAACACAGGCTGCTCATTCGGTCTTCTTCCTCTTCTTCCCTGTCAGTCACAGTGAAGCGAAGCAATGTTGCCAGATTGCGCAATTTGTTGATGTTTCCGGTGAATGGCACCGCCTACGCTGCCATTCGCCCGAGCGCGCACAGCCTGTGCTGCCATTCGCCCAAGCGCGCAGACATCGAAGGAGTTCTGTGTGAAAAACACACACACAGGCATTTGTTTTATTTCGCTAGGACTTGGCGATTACTTCACAAACAGCGCCATGCCGTCGAAGAAGAAAAAATACAACGCGCGCTTCCCGGCGGTGAGTAGGAATCCCGGCGAGCGGCGGCCGTCGGCGGAGCGCTCCTCGCCGCGGCGGCCGCAGATGGGTTATCAGTTTTGTGCGTGCCCGTGTGTGTGTGTGTGTGTATGTACACATAAACATACATACAGACGGGCGTAATCAGGGGCGGCTCAAAGAACCGGGTGTGATTGTAAACCTCCTCCTCTCTCCCCTCCCGCAGGGCCGCATCAAGAAGATCATGCAGAGCGACGAGGAAATCGGCAAGGTGGCGCAGGCGGTGCCCGTTATCATCTCGCGCACGCTGGAGCTGTTCGTGGAGTCGCTGCTGACGAAGACGCTGCGCATCACGAACTCGCGCAACGCCAAGACGCTGTCGCCGTCGCACATGCGGCAGTGCATCGTGTCGGAGAAGCGGTTCGACTTCCTCAAGGAGCTGGTGCGCAACATACCCGACATCAGTGTGGCCGAGGAGGCCGCCTACAACGAGGACGACATGCTGCGCAGCTCGCCGGAGGACCAATATCCCGACTCGGACACGCCATACGATCTTAGCCTGCCATCGACCTCCATGCGCTCGCAGTCCAACAATGGCACTGCGTCCACCGCTGCCTACATGCGCTCCATGAGCCTAAACGGCGGTGGCGGCGCAGGCACCAAGCGCCAGCAGCAGCAGCTTCCTCCCCACCTTAATCCCACCCACACCCTGCCCGCCAAGCTGGCCCGCTCGGAGTCCACGCCTGCGTACACGCCGGGACAACGGGGACGGCCGCCCAATTCCCACTCGCAGCACCACAAGAAGCAGCCGGTGCAGCTCGACACTGCCATACCTGCCCCGATCTGCAGCTACGAGCTGAACAAGCCCATCGTCAAGATCGACTACAGCAACGTGCAGATGCGGAGCCTCTGCACCCCAGAGGCTGCCGTTTCCGCGCCAGCCACGAACTCCGGCGCCGCCTTCAACTTTGATATCGCTGCCCCGGTTATCAACATAGATCTAACGAATATCGTGGCCGCCGGAGCCGGAGTCGGAGCGGCGAGCAGCAGGCCGACATCAATTGGCTTTGCGCCGGCGGACAACAACAATGTGAACCAAATGGCTGGAAAGAGCAGCGCTCCCATCATTCCAAAGGCCACTGCGGCACCATCAGCGACACCCACTGAAACCATTTTCGAATTAGACGAAGACTATGACAATATTTGATTAGGATCTATGTGAAAGCGCTTTTAAAAATTAAATTATTGCTACATTAAAATTGTACAATTTAGGGTAAGAATAACGTTTTTTGCAAAATAAAGACCAAGCTGGATTTTAAGCTGAGACTCTGGGTTGTATTTTTAGTGGATTTTAGTTGAGTTTTCTCGTGGTGAAATCTTTCAAAAATAAAATTATTAGTTTAAACATATTATTCCCTTTAAAATTTTTATAATATTCCAAATTCCCCACAATGTTTGCCTTTATTGAGGACATTAAGATGCAGCCCCTTGGCAACCGAAAGTCCTTTACACCCATCGTCAAAGCCGAATACATTGGGAATGTGGGAGCCTATATAGCCCAGACCGAGTTCAACTCGGATGTCCAGACGGCCCTCAATCTGCAGAACACGTTCTACAAAAAATATAGTTTACTGGCTTGGAAGCTGGAGGAGCAGAAAACAGCGATAATCATGCGCCTGGAGGAAGCCAAGGCCAACATGAAGCTGGTTGACATGTTCATGCGTAAGCCCGGCGAGGAGCATAAAAATATGATGCACATGACCTACGGGGTGTTCCGATGGGTTACCATACAGCCAGTGGAGAAGGTGATCCTCCAGGCGAACTCTAGTACTCTCCAGATGGAATTTGCTTTGCCGGAGGCTATGGAGTTCCTCAAGAAGGACATTACCAAGCTGCAGCAGCAGCGGCTGCAGGTTGATCACGACATCGACTACCTGGAGGATCAGGTTCATGTCACTGAGCTGAATATGGCTGTTTTGAAGAAATACGAAATGCGGAAGCAGCAACAGGAAATTGAAGGATGTATGGCCTCAAGGGATTAAGTAGTTGGGTGTCTTTAAAATTGCATTAGAAAATAGTTGAAGAATTTGTAAAATGTTAAATTTGATTTCAGAAATGAACTACAACTACTTCCCTACAAATTCAAGTAGACAAACCTTTAAAGAAAAATCTCTTATCAATATAGAATCTCCTAAAAATTGTTATTCCCTAGAAATACTAACTTTAAGAGAATAAAACCCCACTAATGGTTTAATTGTATTCAGTCTTGTTTTTCGGGTTTCCCCTCTTTAATATATACGACACTATTAAGTAGTTGCCCATTTAGAGGTCCGCAAGGAGGTCAAGAATTCGGGACCCAGTGTTGGATCCTGCCTAAGTGTGACCTTTATTCGCCTTGCTTGGCTATTTATAAGCGTATACACATCATAATAATTATTACTTAATTTCGCTTAGGGAGCTCGCCAGCACCTCAGCTTGGCCTAGTCATTGTGCAATCCCCTTGGTCACAGTCAATTACAAAATAAATGCCTTTCAATCCCCGCCGTTCCTCGGGCAATTCGTACTTCTTACTTCTTGCTACATATTCGCACACGCAATCCTGCCACAATTGATATTAATTTGAGGCCCCCGATGTGGGTCAAACCCTGATGGACTCTTCCCCCTCGCAGGACCTCCAAAAAAATATGACAAAGAAGAGGAGCTGCCTGGCTAATATCGCGTGGGAAAATCTTCTTGCTGGTGAAATTGCTCGCCGCTCCCGAAAAAGGTGAGCAAAGGTGCAGTTCGGAAATTATATGAATTTGCATGGGTTTGGCATAATTGATTTGGGTCAGAGAGGGTCTTGTATGAGATTAGCCAAGCCCAAGATTAGATTGCAAATGCACTGGGGGAAATTAAAGAGAATTAGAAAGTCATTATTATTTAGTTATATTCTATTAAAGGGAAATTTCTGTTTTAAAATGGTATATGGATATTTGGTTATTTTATTTTTATACCCTTGCAGGGTATTATATTTTCAGTCAGAAGTTTGCAACGCAGTGAAGTAGCCATTTCCGACCCCATAAACCATATATATTCTTGATCAGCATCAACAGGGGAATCTTTCTGGCCATTTTAGAAAGACATTTTTTTTTTTTAATTTTTTCAAAATTTTATAAGGGGTTACATCATTAAAATTTTTGATTTTGATAAAAAATTGAATTTTCAAAATTTTTAAATGAAGTATGCAGATTTATTAACTGTAGAAAATCTTGCACAGAACAGTTTTCCGATTTAAAATTAATGCTCTTTTGGCCGAGTTATGATATTTTTAATTTAAAAAAAATCAAGAAGTTTTTTAATATAAAAAATCCGATTTTATAATACAAAATAATATTTTTCTAAGTCAAGGAATCATTTTCGACCCCATAAACCATATATATTCTTGATCAGCATCAACAGGGGAATCTTTCTAGACATGTCCGGAAGAAATCGATTTTTTGGCCATTTTTGCGAAATTTCATAAGGGGTTACATCATTAAAATTAGCAAAAATGGCCAAAAATTTTGATTTCTTAAAATTTTAAATTTGGTATGCAGTTTCTTTAAATTAATAAAAACTAACTCAAAACTGCTTTCCGAATCGAAATTAATGCATTTTTGGCTTAGTTATGATTTATTTTAATTGTTACCTGCAAGGGTATACAAACTTTGGCTGGCCAAAGTTAGCTTTCTTTCTTGTATTTATTAAAATATTTATTTAAATGCAGCCCAGATGCTGACTCTCTACCTCTCCTTCACCCTCGCCCCTGTTTTGAATGAAAACAAAATTAAAGTATTATTTCCAGTGTAAAGGGCGCAGCTAGATCAAATTGCCCAACTAAGCTAAGTAAAAGCATCTCCAAAAATCGAATTCCCCAAATGAAAAATCCGATCTCCGCACACACCTGCCCCGGCGGATTCTTGGACTCCACTGTCCGCTGTCCACCTGTCTTGAGTCATGGCAAAAAAAAGGAAAAAAAAAGTTTGAAACAATAAAAACAACTTGCGGCGCGCCGCCAGTGCCAAAGTTTTCATGTCCAAGGCGTATTTATGTCAACCGGAAGTAGGTTTACTGACCCACGTAGTATACCCGTAGCGACTTCGACTTCGACTTCGTTTCTTCGGCGACTCCTTCGCCGACTGCCTCTGGGTGTCCTGCCGAGTGGTGGTCAGCCGCCAAGCCGTCGTCCTGCCACAGCGCAGGACGACGTATAAGAAGGTATTTGTCCGCGGCGGATTAGTTTTTCAACGAACGGCAAGTGCAGTGCATCGGATCGATGCAAATGCGCGTTGAATTCGGGTAACGGCGTAACCAAAGTTTCAAAGTTTTTTTATATTATCAAAAAACTCTACAAGTAACACAAAGTTTTCAAATTTATGTGACTCGAAAACGAAACTAAATCCACGAATAAATCACAGTTTAAAACTAGAAACAAACTCTGTACAGCGAAAAATAAAAAACGGAAAACCTGAAAACAATTAACTCATAGATGTCTCTAGGAATTCCCCTGAATTTGTGACTACTCCGTGACTCCACTTTTTGCTGGACTTTGGGGTGGTGCGGTGGAGCTCTATCACGACATTAGCCAAGGATATTTCTCCGGCACTGCCACTTAAAAGTCCCCCCCTCCGGGCTAGAGTGTTGTGCACACACATACCTGTCTATGTCCATGTCCGCCTGATGTTGCAACAGTGCCCCAGGTGGCCAGGTGGGAGCCAGAGTTGGAGCTGAATGGCCTCCTCCTTGAGGCCCTACCAAGTGTTGTTGACTCTTGGGCCCTGCACAAGGCAAAAGCGGAATTTGTTGCGGTTTTGACCCTATTCCCAAAGCCAAGGAAAAAGTGCAGTGTACTCGGTCTGGCCTGGGGTGCATACATTATGTCTTTTGTGGGGGGAGTTTTAGGCAAAGGGCTTGTCTTTGCGAGTGGGAAATGGAGATTTTTTGGGGAAGAGCTAATTGAAATTAATACAAAGAATAAGATTTGCAATATTTAGAGCTCAAAATGAGTTAAAAACTTCAAAAAACATGCTAAAAAGTGATGTAAGGAGTATTAAATCCGTAAATCTTCAAAAGAATATAAAAAGAATTCTTTAAAAAATAATTTGTAAATAGCAAATATAGCTCATGACTTTGGAGTATAATTAAGCAACTAAAATTTCAATACTTTTAAACCAAAATATTTGGAAAATAACAATGTATCTTTTAGTTTTCTGAACAAAAAAATTTAAATTAAAATATATATTCTTTTCTGGTAAATGTTCAGTCAGGTTTATTTGCTTAAATAAATAATTGCATACTTTTGGGCATATGTTAAAGGGATTTTAAAGCAACTAATACCTAAATTCCTTTCTAAATGAGGGATATAAAATCTTTAGAAAATATTGTAAACAATTTCTGGCCTTTATAGTGAGTTACTACTATGCTTTGCTTCATTAAGTGTGTAAAAGCAAAGCCTTTCAAGTGAAATGAGCCGCAGCCGAGTGCGTGCCTGATACCCATGCGTGTGATCACTTTCATCGAACCATGTATCTATCGGGGCATGGGCATCCCGACAAAAAAAATATGAAAAATTAGCGAAAGCCTTGGCCAATCCAAGCCGAGTGGTGTGTGTGTGTGTGTGTTAAGTGTGTGGCACATCGCGTGCCAGAGACATACCAACAGGTGTCACAGCTTGCCTGGCTGGCAGGGTGGGGGGGAAATAATCAAAAGTTGTCTAAGCAGAAGAAGAGGGCAAAGAAAAGCCGAGCAGATGAGAAAAACAAAACATGCAAACACAACTAATGCAGCCGCCTCGCGAAACGGCGAAAAGCGGAAAAGTTGCGGAAAGTGGCGGCAAGTGGAAAACCCGCGGCGAATTGGCCCAGCTCGGCTTTCAGTGCTCACCAGTCTCTCCATATCTCGGCGGCTCTGCGTGTGTGCTAGGTGTGTGTTATGGAGTGTGTGAAGTGTAGGCAATATTTCTTTTGAAGGCCCTCCTTTGCTCACCTGCCATCAGTTTAAGTTAGGCAGCGGCCGCGTTCTAATCCCGCTCCGCGTTGCCCATTTATTTATATACATTTTTTGTTGTTTTGCGGCTTTTCGCCAATTACTTACACATTTTGTGGGGGAATTGAATAAAATACTAAAGTAACTTATATAATATTAAGAAGTTTAAAGTGTTTTTAAACTTAAAAAGCCTGCCTGCCAGTGTGGCCTTGCCTTGAGCAACTTTAATTAAGTACCGTTATTCAAGTGTGACCAAGACGTAATGAGATGCAGGAAAAGCTGCGTGTAATGCGGCAAAGTGTTTCTTTTTTTTAAGAAGTGAGCCTGTTAGCGGATTCGCGAATTACGGAATTACCAGGGCCAACACTCTGCGGCACGCGTCATGGCCACAACACGCCGGTCCCGGCCAAGTCACTTCCTGTGTGTTGGGCCCAAAGTGTGTCACCGAAATTCAAGCTTGGGTGGCGGCCCATAAAATGTAGGTTAAATATTAGGCAGAGGAAAATCAATGCGAACAAATGGGTCCTTCATTTACACCTTCCAACTGGTTCCCCCAGGGGGGGTCTACGTCATTCCGCGAAAATATCTGCGTACCGGCGCTGCGGCTCCAATTAAACCAAGCTGCCGGCTTTAGCTTCCACATCTCTTTCGGGTTTCGGGTAGTACGACGACTTCAAGTGCAGTCACTAATGCGGCAATTTGCAACATGCAATCTCCGCGGTGCAGCCAAGCCGAAGAAGCAATCCAATCTGCTCTCCATACCCTCCTCTCCCTAGGCTCATCAAGTTTATGCTCTCGTTAGCGCCAAGACAAGCGTTTTGGGAGCTGATTTTGCTCCGAGGAGGGGAGACCGAGGCCCCTACACACCGGCAGGTGCATTGCATTCCTTTCCAATCCGATTTTGGGGCGGGTTTATCAGCGCCGCACACGCAGCTATTTATAGGAGTGAAATGGCATTAGAAAATATGGCCGTGCAATAATAATTACTCGTCTATTTATTTGCCATTTATAACCAGTGATGCTAGCTATAGGTCCAGGCACTGTTGTACCTAATTAGTTATTGGGGCTACGTTTAAAAAATAAAGCCATTTACTGGAAAATAATTTAAAAAGGAAAAGTATAGGAGAAAGTAATTTTATAATAATATCTTCATGAGTTTAGTCATCAAAGCATCTGATTTTTAAATAAATAAGTTGGTTCTAAGGCACTTCAGCTGTTTAAACAGTAATTAATACTCGAAATATGATATTTTTTAGAAAATATAAACTATTACCAGAGGCTTTCTTATAGCGCTTTGAATGATTTTAATTCATGAAAGCTTTCTACACCTTAGATAATCGTTTTTTATTTACAGAAATATAAGCTGTAACCATCTGGTTTGTAATCAAACCGAAAAGTCTTGAGTTTTCAGCTGTTAAACCATGTTTAAGTTTCATTTTGTATATCTAACAATTACTTTGCTGACAGGAAACCATTTTTCTGAGGAGTATTGTTGAGTAAACACAGGATTAAACTAATATAGTTAGGTACAAGCTAAAATTTCAAGGCACTAGATAATTAGGTACTAAGGATTGTAGGCCTGTACCTTTACCCATCTCTACGTTTCGGCTATGAAACCGGCATTGTGGCCCTCCGGGTGTCCCTACCTCTTCCTCCCCCTCCGTTCAGGGGTACCCAGTTTTCGGTGCTCGTAACCCCTTAACCCTTCTCCGTAATCCGTAATCCTTGCTCCGCATTCCGCACTCCGTTCTCACCCATCAAAGGCGTCGTCGTCGCGTGTACGTCTCTCTGACACAGCCAAGGGACCCGGAAGGTCTCGCGCCTGGTCGTCGTCTGTCTGTAAAATCCGGATGGGAGAAAGGAGTGAGTGATTTTTAAATACATTCTGTTGCTTCGAATAAACAGTTCCGGGCGTCATTGGTTTTGTGTGGCACTTGAACTGAGCCGAAGGACAACAGAACGCCAGATCCTGCGTGGATTTTCGTGAAAAAAAACTATAGAAAAACAAAAACAACAGAAAAATGGAAAGTAAATCGTAGTGAACGCAGGAGGGCCGGAAAACGGTTAGCACCAATGTCAAGCCATGCAGCAGACCCTCTCGTACTCATCATCATCATCAACGCCATCGCCATCCCCCGATGCCCCTCCGATGCCCACGCCACAACAAGGAGAAGCACCACCACCGAATCCCAAGCCGACACCCAATCTGATCCCAACTCCCCAGCCAAGTCCCCGTGCCCGTCCCCGATCCACTGGCAGCGGCCGCCTCCAGCCGGCTGTGATCCCGGTGGACTATAGCTATCGCACCCGCTCCCTGCTCTCCGGCCACTCGATGGCCCCCTCCACGTTCGCCTCCAGCCTCCAGAGCTTCGGGGTCCGCCAGCCGGAGTCCGAGGCGGATGGCGGCCAGGCGTACAGCAGCCTGTTCGGTGACCCGGTACCGCCACCATCGTCTCACCTCCACTCCGATGACTACTTTGGCTCGGCGGCCTTTGAGACGCTGCGTATGGGTTCGGTGGAGGTGCCCAGTTCCGAGGAGGATGCCCTGGTGGCGGCCATGGCGCTGAATGCCTTGATTCCTGGGGCCAGAGAGCGCATCTTTCCGAGTGTTCCCTACACGAGGACACCAAGGGGATCCCTGCTGCCGCATCTACAGCCGCCGGATATCCAGATCCTGCCCAACTCCAGCGGTGGCTCTAGTTCCGAGCAGCTGGGCTCGCCTAATTACCTGCTCCTGGCCCCCGATGACATCCTCAACAAGCCGGACATGTACGATCTGGAGAATGACATCGAGGAGGAGTACAGCGTGGTGGGTCAAAGGCTGTCCTTCCAGGATGAGCGGGATGGAGAGGAGTCGGCCAGGAGTCCCAGTCGGCAGGAGACTACAGCCAAGATGAGCATCTCCAGCATTGCTACAGAGGATCACAGGGGGTGAGATGAAAGCATAAATACATAAAATTATTCTTTAACCTGAATCCCTAATCTTTAGCCTGCTTAGTGACTCCTACTCCAGCCGGGATTGGTTCCGTCCAGCGCCACAGCACTTTCCCGAGTTCACACGCATTCCCCGACTGCGACCCAGCTCCAAGATGATCATGTCCATGAAGCAGGACGAGGGCCCGCTCTCACCTCTGGCCACCATGATCCAGGACATGAATAGCTCCAGCAGTGGAGGTGAAGAGCGTGTGGCGGCGCCTCCTTCTCCCAAGGAGAAGGTTTCCGTCCCCAAGGACGTAGTCCTGTCGCCTTTGCAATATTTGGAAGAGCAGATGGGCCGGGACATGGGCCAGTGTCACAGGCAATTCCTGGGGGATTATGGCCTGCCTCCACCGCCAGCTGCTCCGCCTCCTCATTGCCACAGGACAACGCAGGATCAGGGCGATGATCACAGCTTGAAGAGATCTATGTCGCCCATCATCATTAGGGATTCCATACCCATGGGAGGGGAATACAGGTGAGGAATCCTCAGAGGGCGAGAGAGAGAGCTTAAATTACCCCTAATCCCTTCCAGAGTGGACCAACCGCGGACCCACAAGAAGACTGCTTTCACCATCCTCTCCTCGGGTCAGCCAGCGGCGACGGCGACTCAAAGACCTGCTGCTGCCACCCGGCGACACGCCTCCATCCAGTCGACATCGACGACGACTACCTCATCGCCAGCGGTGGCGGCGGCCAGGCCGCAGGCCAGTCCTCGCCGGAGATCGGTCTTTCCAGCCGCAGATCCTCGCCTGCCCGAGCTGGGCTTCCATCACCACCACCACCAGCTGCAGCAGACCACGGATGACTCCCCACGACCCTCGGTGCAGTTCAATATGAGCGGCCGGCTCAGCAGGAGCAAGCTGGCCACGCCCCAGAAGGGGATCCTGCAGCAGCGCGACTCGCTGACCTCCTCCATGGACACCTTCACGCCGCGAAACCAAAGCAGGCGAGGATCCACCACCAGCCTGGGCCAGAAGATCAAGAGCTTGGAGGCGCTGCCGCAGATCATGGATCCCTATCGTAGCAGCTCCATTCCCCGCCTGCACTATGGCTCCCACATGGAGCTGGGTGGCCCGGAGCCGGCTGTCTTTCCGCCTGGAGCACTGCCGCGTCCCCTGAAGCCAAATCTGAATCCCACGCGAAGGCAACGCGGCCTGCTGAGGATCATCAACAAGGAGGAGCCGCTGGGATCGCGCCTGCGACTGCCGGTGGCGCCTCGCTCCAACTGGGTCAGCCTGGATGACCTGAGTAGACCATCCTTCGATGCTGGGAGCAGTCAGGTTAAGAATCAGGGTATTCAGGGGCGACGTCGCTCTAGTTCCACCTCCCCTGAACGTCGAAGTTCCACTCAAACCGCCTCGGATCGCAGGAGCTCCAACCTGAGCAGCGTCACTGCCACCACCTCGGACTTTAGCTTCCGCAGGCCCACGCTCTCCACACTGCCAGCTGCCCAGACTCTGTCCCGGATGCGTCGCAAGTCGGTGCAGGCGCCGAGTCCCAATAGGATTCCCAACAGGATTCCCAGCTTCAGTCAGCGAAGGCAGTCCATCTACCAGAAGGATCACGGTAAGGTGGCCAAGCCCAGCACGCTGTCGCCCATCATAGGGACTCCCAACAAGGACAGCAGCTCGGCGCAAAGTCCCACGCACAGAGCCTCGCTGATGGGCAGCACCATGGACACCCAATCTGAGGTGTCGACGACGCGTAGGGATTCGCTTTCAAGGATTCCCGTGCGCAAGAGCCCCGAGTCCCGCTCCAGTTCGCCACTCAAGGACTTGGGGATTACGGTCTCGGGGAGAAGCTCCCGAGCCAGCATCGGTCGGTCACCCTCGAGAGGATTGAGCAGTAGATCCCCCTCGAGATCCATGAATCCTAGCAGGACGCCGTCGCGGGAGAGCGGAAGACTAGGACTAGATTCTCGCTCCGCGTCCAGGGGGCCCGCATCCAGGCCTGGCTCCCGTTTGGAGATGTCCAGCTCTCGCTTGGAGATGGCCAACTCCCGCCAGGATATATCCAATTCGCGGGGCAACTCGCGAGGCAACTCGCGAGCCAACTCCCGAATGAGTATCAACTCCTCGTCGCTGCGATCCTCCAGCATTTCGCCCGCCACTGCCATGGCCAGGAACAGGAGCCTGCGATCCACTACTCCAGGTCGTCGGAAGTCCATCTCCCTGAGTCCCACGAGTGCTAGCAGGATGGATCGCCGGAAGTCTATAAGTCCAGGGGCCTTGAGCCACTCTCGAAGGTCTTCCAGTCGCACTGGCAAGGCGGAGCCCCCGCCCGAGATTCTTTCTCGGCGAAACTCTCGTTCTCGCATTCCCACCAGATCATCGTCCCAGGTCAAGGCTGCGTCCAAGTCCCCGCCGGCTTCGTCCAAGAAGAGATCGAAATCGCCGGAGAAAACCAAGTCACAGGCCACGACGCCTAGGACTGGTAGAGCGGCGATGGCTTCGGCCTCCAAAGGAAGCCCCAAGCCGAAGCCCAAGATCCCTGCAAGTGCCAAACCCAAGAACCAGAAAGAGTCCTCAGCAAAGACACCCGCGAAGCCGGCTAAGAAGGCTGGGCCACCAGGCAAGGCAGCAGCAAATGGAAAGAAGCCTCCTCCCAGCAAGGCTATTCCCATGAAGGACGCCAAAACGGAGAAGGGAAAGGAGAAGGAGAAGGGCAAACAAGCAGTCAAAACCAATGGCAAGGAACCCTCAGCTGCTGCCAAAACCAAGACCCAAGTGAGCAAGGTCAAGCCGGGAGGAGTAGCCTCACAGGAGAGCAAGAAACCCGCTGCCAGCAAAGCCCATGGTATTTCTCTGGAAAAGGGAGCAGGAAATGGTTCCAATGCCCCAGGGGAGATACCTCCTTTGGCCGCCCAGGTGGGCAATGCGGTGCTCCAGGCGGTGGAAGCTGTGCCGGCGGTTACCAGTGAGGTGAATGTACCCTCTACGCCAGGTGGCAAGGCAGCTAGCGGAGCCAACATGTCCAAACTGGTGAGGATGAGCTCTAGACTGAGTCTGCTGAGCAACAAGAACCGATCGGATTCGCCGCAGAGCAGGAAGGTGGCCACTGTGCCGGAACATGCCAACGAAAGCGAAGGTAGGCTTCACTGCAATCTAACCCGAACCCTTTTAACCTTCTTTCCTTCCCAGAAACCGGAGGACACAGTTCCCTACCCATGTCCAATGATGCTGCTGCCATTCTGGAGAAGTCTCAAAAGACTCTGGAGACCATTCAGAAGACCGTAACCGAGGCCACCGACGAGATCCACAAGACCATCAGCGAAAATCTCACCGATTTGAAGAGCCTGGAGAATGACCGCCTGAACGCTGATCCCTCACCCACGCCCAGCTCGGCCACCATGGTGGCCAGGCCGGGTGAGTCCGCTTCCCGAACAGGCACTGCCGATGGTAGTATTGCCCCGCAGAGCTCGGGGGAACAGCCCAAGTCGCCGTTTCCGCCCACGCAGCCCATCGAGGCATCGGTTTCGGTGCTCCATCCCAACGAGAGCTCTGCGGAGCGGATAGCCAGTGTCCCGGAGGTGGAGTGCGAGAGTTCGGATATTCCTGCTCCATTAGATGCCTCTGAATCGGAATTGGGTGTGGGCCATGATGTGATGCCCACGCCCGAGAGTGGAGCGGACTTCAAGGTGGACGCCAAGCGTCGATCGCCGGACGGACAGGGTGGATCAGCGGCGGGAAGCGGTGGCATGGCCAAGTGAGTAACCAAAGGGGATATTATTTATCTTATATTTTAATATTACATTTAAATTCAACTAAGGTAGAGTACAAACTCTCTAAAGGTCTAGCATGCCCCATAGCCTCTCTTAAAAATCCTTGAAAGTTCTTAAAACCCAAAGTACCAACTGTATTTAGACTACTTACCTGAAAGAATCCTTGAGAAACCTTGCTGCCCTGTTTTTGTCACCAAGGAAGCCTCTAATGTGTTCTAATGTCCTCATGTCCACTATGACCATTATGAATATTCATCAGTCAAACGTCTGTCCTGGTAGCAGGTCAGCCTTAGAGCCTGAATTCGAATGCTAACTAAAACCAACTCGTAATACTAACATTTTGCCTCGACCCTAAGGGGTCTCCAGCAACCCCAGCCAAGGCTTGCCTAGGCCTGGCCAGCCAATTTACATACAGGAAACCCGCCGAGGAGTGGGTATGGGGGCTGGACTTGGGCCAAGGGGGAAAGCCCTAGAACAACAACTGTGATGCATAAAACTTTACAGCGCCGTGTGGGCTGGAGTTCCGTGCCACAGCCAGGCACAGGTCCGTCAAGCCACTCATAAGTGCGTCAATAAATTTTGAGCCCAACACGACGACGGAGGAGGAGGAGGAGAACTAAGAGGGGCAGGAGACCTCCTTTAAGGAAATCCGTTCGCTGGCCTGTCGTCGTGGTCGTCTTGGTGGTCGGCAAGTCGCGAAGCAGAGTCGGCGAAGGTAACGATGTCCTTCAATGCATTGTTTTTCGAAGCGTGCGAGCGACCAGTTACAGTGGGTACTTCCCAAGACCCTAAGGGAATGCTCCCTAAGGGATAGGGTCCTCACAAGAGAGTCCCCACTGTATACAGTATAGCGTGCGCGGAAAACAGGAGAAAAGTATTTTTCGCAAAAAACACACGGCTTAAGTTTCTTATGCCGCAATAACAAATCAGTTTGGGCCGGACAATCGCGCCAACCGCAGCGCGCGAGGGAAATCCCACGGAAAGTTGTTTTGGGGAAACTCCTTGAGAGTCTCGGGAGTCAGTTAGTGTTGATGATTTGCCAGCAATTAATACGAAATACTTGAAATACTCTCGCGGATAATTCGGATAATTTGCGCGCTTCGAAATGCTGAATGGAACGCCCAAGAACTCGGTCATTTACACGGTGGATCTGGCCCAGGACCCGTTCATCGATGGCGACAAGTACTTCTTTAGGTAATTAAGGCACGAGATCCAATTATAGCTTATCGCCGAGAGTCATCATCTCCGAGTGCGGCCTGACATTCATAGGCCTAACTTCTGGCTGAACACGGAGCTCCTCCACACTGTCTCAGTTGGAGTCGCAGGTCAAATATATAAATTGCCGACCTCCAAATTGCGTTTGGTCGTTGGCTCGTGTGCACACGGAACGGAACTACGGAGTGCCTCAACCTATATATTATATACACGTGAACACATGGACCCATCAAGAAATTGTGTAAGCGTCCGAAAAGTCGTCCCCCGTCTCGTGACATATTTTTGTGGGGTTGTAATATTCAAAATCGACCCGAAACCTCCAACTTCATTATGCCAAGATGAAAGTTCAAAGTGCCAAGAGATGGGGCAAAGTGCACACGCTAATGCATAATGCATACTGCCGGAGGTACATCCCCTTATATGAGGGTAATCCATCCTGGATAATTGACTTCCGAAGGTGATTATAAGCCAAGTTTGAAGCGAGAACCATCCCACACACAGAGTCTTGACCTGAACTTTCCAATCATACGGCACTTCCGGCGCTTGGCACCTGGCCAATCCCTCAAAGCCATAAAAGCTTATATCCGGTCTCTGCGGACAGTCAAGGACAATGAGGGGAGCCTTGGCTTTAAGTTGGGTCTTCACCTTGTCATAAGTGTTGAAGGAACTCCTTAAAAAAAGTAGCCTTCTTCATGGGGAAGGGGATTCAAAACGAAGAGAGAATTATTGAAGAGGAGTTTTAGGGGAGATTTAGAGGATTTTTAAAGTGATTTAGCGACTGTTTTTTGAAGCTTTTAAGATGTTTTTTTTAAGGAAATTTTCTATTAAAATCTGCAATCTTTCCCATAGAGATAAGCGCCCTTAATATCCTTTTGTTACTTCCCCAGAAGCAGCAGTCAGGAGTTCCTTGAGGAAAAGGACAACAACAATGTCAAGAAGCGTGGAGGCCTCTGTGGTTGCTGCTCCACGCTCTTCATGCCCTGTCGCCGATCCCGCTGCTCCCGTTGCTGCATGCGGAAACGCGACCGGAATCAGTCCGCCGAGAACCAACCCGTCCTGTGGAGCGGCAACAGCAGTGCCACCACAGCCACCAATGTCCAAGTGATTGACGAGACCAAGCCCAAGGGGAAGAAGCGAGTCACTGACTGGCTCAAATCCAGCTGCTGTCGGAGCTGTCGCAAGAAGCCAGTAACCAGTGGAGAGGAGGAGCCTGAGGCAAAGGCCAAGAAACAGAAACAGGAGACCAACATGAGTAGCAGCCACACAATGGGACCAAAGCCACGCAGCAAGTGCGGCCTCTGCCTGAGCAAGGTGTTCTGCTGTCGGTCGGTGAACAAGGTGGATCCCACCACCGGCGATGAGACGGAACTGAACAAGTGCTGCTTCTGCATTCCGTGCCGACGCGGTGGCAGTAGACCCAACAAGAAGGGCAGCACCGTGTCCTGGCGCGATCAGGACCCAGAGATGGGCATAAAGCCCACGGAGTCCTCGGTGGTGGAAGGCGCCTCCGAGGCGGCCATGTCAGCAGCCACAACTGCAATGGATAACCAGGCTAAGGAGTGAGTGGTCTAATAGGTATTTAGGTATATGGATTTATGGTAACCTTGATTTCAGGGGCTGCTGCAAGCGATTCTGGCTGATGCTACTGTGCTGTCGCAAGAAGAAGCGTCGCGAGTCGAATGCTCGCAGGCAAAGCATCAAGGCGCCACCACCCAGCGAGGCAAGTGCTTCATGAAAATATTGCTTACTTTCCTGTCTTTATTCTCCACTTAAATAATTCCACACAGGACACCCGTAAGAAGCTGCACAATGACCTGGTGGAGTACACATCCAAGATGAAGGGAGCCATTCCAGTGCTGCCGCTGTATTTGGCCTGGTTCTGTGCCTTTTGCAATGTGGTTTTTCCAGGTTTAGGTGGGTATTTTCTTTAATTAAATTTAAGATCACACAAATTACAATAAATTCCCCACACAGGCACCTTGCTCTCGGGACTCTTTTGCCTGTGTGTGGGCATTCCTCGCTTCTCCCAGTTCGACAGCGCCCGTGCCAGGATTGGCTCCTTCATCATCAACATCATTGTGGCCGTTTCCCAGTTCTTCTGCGTCCTCTTCTGCTTTGTCGGCTGGGGCTGGTCCATCTGGTGGGGCACCATAATGCTAAGATGTGCCAGTAAGTTTGAGATTTCATCTCTATAAATCATGGATCGTAAACAAGTCTATACACTTTCCAGGAAAACTGAGCAAAATCAAAAAGGTGGAACGTTTGGAGCTGGAGGAGGAGCAGCGCCAAGCCAAGCTGGCGGAGGAGGCGAAGAACGGCGATGCCGAGGCGGCCAAGACATAGTCCTCCGATCCCGGATATAACTAAGTTGCTTTTTATACCATATATTCTGTACATAATTTTGTACAAAACAAAAAAACCCGAAACCATGTAGATTCCACAAACACCATGCACTTCCACTTGAACTTCCAGGTTAAGCGAAATGGAACAGAACTTCCTTTGAACATGAGAAACATGATTCAATGTGTAATTGAAATCATTAAACTTCCACTAAAAATAACGGTATTTGTGTTTTAAATTATTTGAAAATCGATACATGCTTATCGATGACAGAAACATACTAAAATTGCATTTTGGGCTGGGTGTTTGGTATTAAATTGGTTTGTTCTTTTAAATCGAGTTTTTTTAATAAAAAAAAAGTAATTAAACATTGGAAAATGTTTTTAAAATTAAATTAAAACTATTCATTTGTAAAATATCTTTAAAAAAGTCAAAGAAAAGGTAAAATTGTATTTTCACTGTGTGACCGTTTCCCATTTGTTTTCATTGGTATTTTTTAGGGCGTGATACGGTCTTTGTGAAACGGCGTTCCGTAGAAAAACACGACATCAACTTGCGAATTCGTACAATTTTCGCTGTAAAACATGTCGCACCTTGTGAAAATGGAAAACGGACAGAGCCAGACCATCCAGGAGATGCTGGGCTGCATCGAGCGGTGAGTATTACTTAGGAATCCCCGCCTAACATTCAGCAACAAAACATAACCTCGCTTTCCTCCTCCCTGGAACACCCAGCTACAACCCGGATCATCTGAAGACCCTGGAGGCGTACGTCCAGGACCAGGCCAAGAACAACACCTACGACCTGGAGGCCAATCTGGCCGTGCTGAAGCTGTACCAGTTCAACCCGCACATGCTCAACTTCGACATCACCTACACCATCCTGCTGAAGTGCCTCACCAACCTGCCCCACACGGACTTCGTGATGGCCAAGTGCCTGCTGCTGCCCCAGCAGATGAAGGACGAGAACGTTCAGACCATTATCGATCTGGCTGACATCCTGGAGCGAGCGGACTTCACCCTGTTCTGGCAGCGCGCCGATGTGAACCGCAACATGTTCCGTCACATCTCCGGCTTCAACGACTCCATTCGCAAGTTTGTGTCTCATGTGGTGGGCACCACCTTCCAAACGATCCGCAAGGACCTGCTGAAGGAGCTGCTCGGCGGCATCGAGGACTCGACGCTGGAGAGCTGGATCAAGCGCAACGGATGGAAGCACCAGGGCCAGGGCCTGGTGGTGGTTGCCATGCAGGATGACAAGATCAAGACCAAGAACATTACGGAGAAGATTGAGTTCGACAATGTCGGTGCCCTGATGGCCCAGTGCCTGTAGAGTGTGTCCGCGTCCTTAGTCCTGTCTAAATTTCTACGAATAGTAATTAAAAAACACAAAATAAAGAGCCTGTAATCTACGTACAGCTAAACTTCAACTTCATTTTATTCCTCTCCCGCCCTCAGACACAGGAGTTCCAGGAGGCTTCCAGACACTCGTCGCTTACGGAACTAAAGAAACCCTAAACATAGGCGTTACAAAAACTAATAAAGCCCTAAATTCTACATCTATGACTGCTTCTTGAACTTCTTCAATATGGGGAATATCTTGTCAAAGGCGTCGTATATCTCCTGGCGAACCTTGGCGCCGGTGAGCACCACCTTGCCGGACACAAAGATAAGCAGCACTATGCGAGGACGCACCATACGGTAGATGAGACCAGGAAAGAGCTCCGGCTCGTAGCTACTGAAGTTGCAATGGGTGAGGACCAGGCCCTCCAGGCGAATGGGAAACTTGACGTCGCAGGAGCCGACCATGTTTTGAATTTTAAAGTCAAGGAACTTTGCCTGAAAGGGAAAGGAGATTAATAATATCTCCAATTAAGGCAAGGATAAGATGGTCTTACATTAAATCCCAGCTTTTGTATAATGCGTGCGTACTTGCGAGCCGCCAGCCTGGAGTCATCCTCGCTCTTGGCGCCCGTGCACACCATCTTTCCGGAGCTGAAGATCAAGGCAGTGGTGCGCGGCTCGCGAATGCGCATAATAACGGCCGCAAAGCGCTTCGGGTTGTACTCGGCATTCCTGGCATGCAGCGCTATCTTCTTGAGATCCAGCTTGCAGCAGAGATTCACCGTGGACACAATGTTCTGCAGCTGGGGCACAATGCCGGGATCAGCCGATCCCGGTGTAGCCGGTGTCATAGGTGTGGATGGTCCCATGGTCTGGTGGATGTTGCTGAGGGCATCGCCTGCTCCCGAGCCGCCTCCTGTTCCGCCGCCCACGCTGCGCTCACTCATGGGCATCATGTGGGACATCATGCTCTGCGGCGTCTGCGGCTGCATCATGGACTGCGGCGTGCTACCGCCCCCGCCCGGCTGCTGCTGCTGATAGGAGGCCGAGGGCTGGTAGCTCTGCATCTGCTTGTGAGCCAGCGGCAACGATGGCTCATGTCCAAACAGTCCGCTGCCGCTTGTAGCAGCGCTGGCATCAGCCTGTGCCTGCTGTTGTTGTTGCTGCTGCTGCCCTGCCGAAGATACGGGAGCGGGCATGACCGGATCCGGCTGCGGCACTGCCGGCGGATGGTAGACCGGATTGGCCACGATCTGCTGGTCCGCCTCCATCTGGTGCAGCGGAGTTCCGATGCTCGGAATCGAGAAGTTGGGACTGAGCATTTGGTCCATGTTGCGGCTGGTTTTGGGGTCTACCGGCTGCTGGGGGGTGTCTTACTTCAATGGGGGTAGGCTTGGTGGTTGACCACTTGAGGCGAGCGGCAACTTTCTACGGATAATTTTGCATTTAACTTGAATTTAATTTCGTGGTAAAAAGAATGCAGCTTCAGCAAGTGTGACCAATGTACGAGTTCCGAAAAAATACCAAACCAAACGCGGCAAAAGCGGGAGAGTTGCCAGGGCTGACAAAAGTAAGTGGGAATTATCGGGGTTTGCGGGAAAGGAAGAAAATTTTAAAACACTAAAAGCTTTTTTAATTTTTTTTGAATGCTTTTTTCTTTAAATATTTAAATAAGTTATAAACTTCATATGGATGAGTATAGTTAGATAATTTTTTGATGGTTGAATTAAAATTTATTAGAAAAATTTATTAGAAAAACATCTTTTTTACATTTTAAGATTATATTTAATTTTATTTTCGTGTTCTTATTTCTGAACATTTAAATAAGTAAAAAACTTAATATGCATGATTATTACTCTTAGTAAAAATAATTTATTATAGAAAAAACCTTTATCTAAATTTATTAAATTGAATATTAATTGGTTTATTATAAAGTTTATTAGAAAAACACTTATCCTTTAAATTTTGCCACAAGGGTATCAACTTGTATATTTGTTTAGTACATTTAGCCATATATAAATTAACCCTTTCCCCAAATATAGTATATTTAATATACACCTAATTAAGAAGAGTTTAATCAATTATTCAAATTAGAACCCATTTTTGACAACCACTTTATAGTGTGATTAAACTCATAAGAACTAATAAAACACCGCCTAAGCTCAAATTCACGCTTGAAGGCGCAAAACTTCTGACATTTGACCCCGACGAGTGATGCCTGTACGTGTTGCCGTTGTCATCCGTGTAGAGATAGACGCGTCCGGATGAATTCTGGAAGGTACCGCCCACGCCGGGCACCTGATAGGGTCCTTCGTTCTGGCCCCTTATGTAGATGCCATTTCCCGGCTGCCCGAACTCGTGTGGGCCGTTCCGGCCATCGTAATTCTGCTGCGCATTTGTGGCTTTAATGTGGGAGAACTGAGAGTTCAGTGAATCCTACAAAGTATCCGAGCATGACTTACCGGCAAACGCCATACAAACAAGCACAATTAGCAGACGCATGATGCAGTTTCCAGTTCCCAAGCTCGACCTCAACTGAGAGCTGCTATTCAAAATCTATTTATTCAAACCCGGGCGAAACCCGAGCTTTTGTCAATTAACAGAGTGGCCCGAGAGCGGGGTGAGATCACTTGGAAGAATCTCATTAGAGAACGAAGCTTTTCTATATGCACTTACGCAGACACTGTGTTCCAATCAAAATCGGGGAAAGTTTTTTTCTAAAAAGAAAACAAGCACAAGAGCACCCAAAAATACCCACAGCCAATGCAATTTTTAAAATTAGTCCACTAGCTTTTTGGGAAGAATTCTTCTCTTAAGAGAAAGGCCAGCAGAGAGTGCAATATATGCCAAGATCTATACATATTGAGAACCCCACTCATTATGGCTTATATAATATTTAATCAAAACAAAACACAAGATAGACCTGGGAGAGCAGAAAACATTTACCCCCCAAAAAAACATAGTGAGTTTTTCAAAAACTGTTGTGGATTTTGAATTTTTCGGTTTACTTGCTAAATTCTAGTTTGAAAAAACATGGAGAAGATATGCCAATTCTTTCGCAACAACTACGTGCTGGCCAACTGTGAGGATGCCATATACAAGAAGGCCTTCTCCTTGAACTTGTCCCACTACCAGATGTCCCAGGTGCCAGACATCATAGACCAGTGCGAAACGCTGCTAAAGCTATTTCTCAACCAAAACAAGCTGACCAAGGTTGGGGGATAAATATAAATTCATTGAAGGGGTTATTAATCTTACCCTCACAGATTCCCTCCAGCATTGGCTCTCTAATGCGCCTCCAAGTGCTCACCTTGGACTATAACAAGCTGGAAGAGTTTCCCGACTGCATTTGCCGGCTGGTCAGTTTGAAGTTCCTCAATGTCAGCTGCAACAACATCGTTCGTTTACCCCCGGAACTGGGCTATCTCACTCTCCTGGAAACCTTTTGGTGCAATAATACCGGTCTTCGGGAACTGCCCTTGGAGATACGCAACTGTGAACGCCTCGAGACGCTGGGAGTGCGGGGTAATCCCCTGAAGAGCCTGCCCGAGAGTATGGGTGCCCTGTCCTCGCTCCGCTGGTTTACCGCTGAGAACTGTGAGCTGGAGGAGATGCCGCTGACATTTGCCTTGCTAAGCAGCCTGGTGCACCTGAATCTCAAGGGCAATCGTCTGAGGCGACTGCCCAAGATGCTTATGGCCATGCAGAAGCTGCGTTTTGTCTTTCTCAATGGGAATCGCATTGACGAGCTGCCCACGAGGACGCAGCTGGAGGAGTTGCGTGCTCTGAACATGCTGAATCTTTCACAGAATCCCATTAGCCATCATTCCGACCTGCAGCTGATGGCGCTGGTGAGTCTTTGGGGGATTACTGACTATCCTGTAAGGAAATCTAGCTGTTGTCTTTCATTTCACAGCGTCAGAACAACCTGTATGTGGACCCACCTAACCCCGAAGACATCGCCTGCGATTGCCTTTCCAGCCGGGCCAGCCTCAACACCCAGGAGCAGCAGGAGGCTCAGGCACGGGGCGCCGGGGACGACTCCTCCGACTGGGAGAATAGTGTGCGAACCAGCGAGCTGGACAGCACGGACGAAAGCGGCCTGGAGGCTACTATCGAGGATTTGAGTGTTATGCTGCCAGAGATATCGCGTTTTATTACCACCTCCTGAGGGAATTTGTATTAAATTTCGGATTTATTCCAAGTCTTGGGTTTTGTACAGAATCTCTTGGTGGGTCTGGAGTTAAATGGCTTCCTTCTTCACCTCCTGCGGCATGTAGACGGTCAGGAGGTTCTTGCCAATGCGCTCGTGAATGTCCAAGAACTTGGCCACGCAGTGATCAATGCAGACGATCTCGCCCTTGCCTGGAAAGTGGGGGAGAAGTAGGGAGATTCTGGAAATTAGGCGTGAATCATATACCCCATTATCTATAAGAAACCCATAGATCTTGTTGGTTTCTAAGGAAGTTCTAGTAATAGTTCCTCTATCCCCCTGGAACTCACCCAAGTCTGGCTCAGGATAGCGGGAGGGAATACACTTCTTGTGGCAGGCATTTGCCATGCGATTGTATAGATCGGACATCGTCTTCACCTCCATCTCTTGCATTAGCTGTAATTTGGCCTGGTCGGCGGCAGAATTGATTTGGGGCAAAGCCATGTTTGCTGGGGGATTTTCTTCCCGTAGAACTCAAAGCCAGAATTTGTAGAAGAATTTTTATATTTTCAAGATTTCTAAATACAAACTGAAAAAACAAAGCCTGCTTAATGTGAAGACAAGAATACAGTATTATTTTTATTTTATCTGACATTAATCTACTAAACATTAAGTAAATATTAAATATATTATCCTTAACCAACTTTGCCAGTTAGGGAAATACAAAAAGTAAAAAACCTCTTGATCCATCGATTTTTTATAATATTCTTAGCCACCAGGCAATGCATTAAAACCAATAGGAAACTGGAGATCAAAAACCCTACAAATGTTAATTATTTAGTGTTTATTAGACTTAAATCCTTAATAGGGGTTACCTGTATATACAAGCTCGTCTAGACCAAGGGGATAACCTACAAGCCTTTGAGCGTAGACCAAAAAAGCTATCGTTATTCCAATAAGCTGAGCAGTAACTAGCAACCAAAGGCACAGAATATGGAATTCCTGTAAAAAATCGGCATTATAAAATTAGGTTTTAAAAGATAATTGCAGTACAAACCCGGCAATTACCCAAAACCCACAGATATCCGCTCAGGCCGTAAAATGCCGAGCCCTGCAAGTTTGTTTTAACGTCTCGATTAGTACATTTCTCCCAAGAATCTAGAATAATTGTTTAGATGCTATAATTTTGTATTGAATTTTGTATTATTTTTTAATATATTTACCAAACTTTATGCAATGCCCTAGACACTCTAGATACGGTGAAAATAAGGCCCATGTCATAACAAAGTGAATGCCTAAACCCGCCGCGTTGAAAATCAAGAACACCATGGTTGAAGCGCTAACAGAAACCAACTAAACTTGAACAACATAGACCCACAAGATGTCCTGTAATAGCATTAACTTTAATTATTGTCATTACTTAGCTAATTTATTTAATTTCCCCAATAATTAAGCTTAATTGAGAATTTGGTCACCACAAAATAACCGTTTCCAGTATTTTTCTTCTGTTTTTAAACTAACTGTGACCTTGCAAACTCTGGCCACACTCCCCAGCCGGCACTGTGTTTACTCAACTCGTTTTTATTTCGTAATTATAAAGGCCATATTTTATCAATGAATTAAGATAAGCCGACGAGCTGCTGCCGGCATACCCCTCCAAATGACTTCTCAGATCTACAACCAGAAGAAGTTCGTGCCCACGCCGCCCGAGAAGGGTTCGTTTCCCCTGGATCACGAGGGGCTGTGCAAGAAGCAGTTCCTCCTCTACGCCAGTTGCCTCCGCAAGAACGCCCAGGACACGAGTCTGTGCCGCGAGGACGCCAAGAACTACCTGGCCTGTCGCATGGACAATAATCTTATGGAGAAAACCGAATGGTCCAAGTTGGGATTCCACGAACAGAAGCCAGCCAAGGAGCAGGAGGAGAAACAATGAAACCGGAACGCAATGTGATGATAGCGGCCACGGGCAGCGTGGCCACCATTAAGTTAGCCCAGTTAATCCAAGAGCTCTCCGACGAGCGTCTGCCCTACAAGTTTCACCTGAAAGTCCTCATCACAGAGGCGGCCAAGCACTTTTTTGAATTGGAGCAGATACCAGAGAATGGTGGGTAGTCTAGAGGACTAAAAACCCCATAAGTAACTCCCTTCTTCCAGTTCCCGTTTACCACAATCGCGATGAATGGATCACCTGGAACAAGCGAGGCGATCCTGTTCTGCACATAGACCTGGGCAAGTGGGCGGATCTGCTGGTGATTGCTCCGCTCAGCGCCAATTCCCTGTCTAAGATAGCCAACGTAAGACCCAAGGCCCTTGTGAAATTTCTTATCTGTGCAGGAACTATTTTTGTATCTCTTTTATGGCAGGGGATCTGCGATAATTTCGTGATGTGCGTAGTGCGGGCTTGGGATCTGCAGAAGCCGCTGCTCTTTGCCCCCGCAATGAACACTCGGATGTACGATCATCCCATAACCAGAGAGCAGATCGACAAGCTCATCAGTTGGGGCTACAGGGAAATACCGTGCATCAGCAAGACCCTAATGTGCGGGGATACGGGGAATGGGGCCATGGCAGAGGTGCCCACAATAGTGGAAGCGGTGCTAAAGGCCTTTCCCACGGACACTGAGTTGGAGTCCATATAAACCTTAAGCCAAAAATTGTTTATATATCGCAGAATATGGGTTTTTGTTACAACAATTAAATACAATTAAATGGAATGGGATTCCTACAGATCCACCACCTGCATGTCCTCTAGGGAAGTGTTGGCCGACTGACTGATCAGCGCCTTCTCCGAGTCCGTCAGATTAATGAACTTGTGCTTGGTCTTGAGCTCCTGCTGGATGGAGGAGAGCAGGTCGGGGGAACAGCGTCCCGGCTTCTTCTGCTCCTGTGACTCCTCTGCTCTGGCTCCCAGTACCTCCATCTTGGGCTCCACAATGGTCTCCATCTGCAGGGACTGACGCTTGCGCCGCATTCTCTTCGATCCTCGGGTAATGAGCACCACGGCCGGTGACTCAAAGGGCAGGGCCTGGATGACTGTTTGTAATAATTTCGGCGGCGTCTCGGGTGTCTTGGGGTTGCCAATGACCACATCCGCCTGGAGGGCACTACGTGCTCGCTCTCGCTCCTCCTCACGCTCACGGGCAGCATTTTTCCTCATCAATTGGCGAGCTCGCTTCTTGAGTATAGCCTGCGCCGTGGGATAGTAGGCAATGACCTCGTTCAAGTCCGATTTGGAGAGGACAAACAGGTTGGAATAGCCCTTGGAGCGCACATCTGCTGTCCGACGATCAGCTCCATTGATGCCCAGCAAACTGATCTCACCAAAGACGGAGCCCTCAGTGAGGGTGGCGAGAACTACGTCGCTGCCGGGTCCACCCATCACCTGGACCTGGCCCAGCTTTACGATATACATCTCCCGGCCCACCTCGCCCTTGCGGCAGACAAAGTCTCCCGGGAGAAAGGTCACAGCTCTGAGTTTGAGGACCAAATCACGGAGCAAGGCCTCCTCGCAGTCAGCAAAGAGTTGGACCTTTGACAGGGTCTGGATATGCACGGAAATGGCTATGTCGGTCTTGAGATTAATGGGCAAGGCATCTAGGATGTTGGATTCATCTGTAAGATTAGGAAAAACTATAGTTTAAGGGCTTTTCTAGGATGTATCCCAACTCACCCAAGGTTCTCTGCTGTTCCCAGGTAAACTGGAACCACATCTTGACCCTGGACTGCACCTCCTGCGAGAGATTGAGCCGCCTCATGTACTCCAGCGTCTCATCCTCTAGCTGCCTGTACTCATGCTTATTTCTGGTGGCCGTGGATATGATGTCCCGGATCTGACCAATAAGGAGAGCGAACACGAATACGCCCATCAGCCAGGCCACCGTCATGAAGACATATTCGCCCTGCCTCTCCGGCTTTGGATTTTTTCCTATGGAAGTGGCCGTCTTGGTGGCGAAAGCAAAGCACCGGACATAGGGATGTCCTTTGCCACTGAACACCCAGCGATTCTTGCCCAAACCCTGATAATCACTGTAAGCGTAGTAAAGGGCGGCAGTTATGTGGATCATGTAAAGCATATAGGTAAGGGTCTTGGCCACGCGAACCTGTAGGGAAAAGGGGTTTAATTTAATAGAATAAATAATTACAAGTTAGTAAAGGAAAACTTACGAAATGTGGTGAGGATATAACCCTATCCAGCAGGCGAAACACTTCCCAGAAGCTTTGGATCTTGAAGAAACGTGGAAAACGCAGCCAAACGGCGCCGGTTCCTAGTTTAAGGTAGAGCAACTCCAGGGGAAGAAGAGCCAAGAGATCCAGCTGGAGGTTTGGGTAAAAATTAATATTATAAAGGTTAAAAAAATCCAAAAAAATTTACCCCACCTTAAACTGCAACTTCCGCATATAGTTCTTCCTGGTCAGGTTCTTGTTCTTAACCCAAAAACCCTCAAAGAGATACATGACCCGATGCTTAAAGAAGACCACGTCCAGAAGGTAAATAATGTCCGCACAAAAGTCACAGGCCAGCCAGATATTGGTGTTCTCCTTGGTCTGGAAGGGAAAGGAGGAGCGCAGCGGAATGACCCAGGCATTGTAGAGAAAGGACAGCGAGACCACACACAGCCAGGAGATGTAAATCTTGCCCTGCGGATCCAAAGTCCTCTCATCGTTGTTCGCTCCACACAGACTGGAGCAAAGCCAGGCATTCGACCTGGTGGTGTCCGCCTCGAAAAGCCTGCCACGGTGATGGGGCGACTGACCTGCCGGCACTAGACGCACCTTGTGCTCGGGCGAGGGATGCAGGCTCTTAGTTGGCGGCGGTGACGGGGAACTGGCCGTGCTGCTGGACGAAGGAGTCGGTGGGAGCTCAATCCGGGACTTGACCTTGTTGGCCCGGGCCGTGAAGCGACGTACCAAGTGGCGGACCTGGTCGCGCAGGAACTGCTGGCCCTGGGAGTCCAAGCTACCGGCACTGCTAGGCTTGCGATGCTCCAGGTTCATGTCCATTTCCACTTCCGTTTCCCGCACCTCGACAGCCACGATTTCGCTCTCGTTGATGGACGGTGTTCCTTGCGCCCGCTCGTTGCGATCTTCGTTCTGGAGCTCCGGGGATTCGTTGTAGCAGATCTGCACATCCTGCTCGTCCTCGTCGATAATGGGTTGGGAGTCGGCCTGCTCTTGATCCTCCTCATCCTCCTCCTTGGGCAGAACCACCTGACCCGTGGCAGCAGCCAGCTCCTCTGCCCTTTGAAGGGCTATGGGATCGGGCACTACTTCTGGGGGAACAGCTGCTCCTGGCAGAGGCACCATCTCGAAGCTCTCTGGTTCGAGGACTCTTCTCACACTGTCAGGACTAACCAGTGGCTTCTCATGCCTTAGGATATGCTTGACCAGAGCATGCGTGGCCCCCACATTGTTCTGATGCTCCGCAGTCTCCACACAACCGATCCTGCCATTTCTGAAGTACAGCCTGGAGTGGTAGAACCTCGGGCTACCAGGACGATGACGTCGTGGCGGAGCCTTGTAGGCATTGATCTTGTAGGTGACCCTCTTGATGGGGCTGGGCGACTTGTTCTCCTTGTTGGAGACGGAGTGCAGGATCTGTTCCTGCTCCTTCTCCTTTTGTAGCAGCTCCTCGGTGGCGCTGACAAACTGTTCGATCTCCTTGAGATCCTTGGTGATCTCCTCCAGGCTGCGCCGCACCTGGGCCTCCTTCTCCCCGGGACTGGAGTAGCGACGCACACTCTCCGGCTGCTGCCGCGTGTTGATCACATTCCGCATGAAGGCATGCCGCTCCAGAGTGTCACAGAACTTGGGCTCCCGTCTCTTCGAGGCAGACGAGTTGGAGCTGGACGAGCCAGAGCAGGAGCCAGAGCCCGAGTTGGGTGCGGTGGCCATGCGCTTGAGCCGCTGATGGTTGTGAAACTCGTCGTAGGCAAAGTTCTCCAGTATATTCGGGGATGACTTCAGCAGCGATGCACTCGCCTCCGGTTCGAGCTCCTCGCTGGGACTGCTGCTCACCTGCAAATGAACACGTTCCAGCGATTGAGGGTCGTCGTCGGTTTCAAGAGAAATAAATAAAAACAAGGCGAACCAGGCAGGCGGCAGCACGCAATTGCAATAAAAACAACAAAAACAGCGGGGGCCAACGAGTGTGCTCCGCATGGTAATTGCGCCCGCACAAGCGCCAGTTGCCCAGTTGCCCACTTGGAACGCCAATAGCTCATCTATCCATTTGTCTATCTATTAATCTGTCTGTTATATCTACTTGGTATATGGCAGAGTCTTAAAGGAAGGCGAGTTCAACTAACTAAGTGAGCTAGCTCTCCTTGAACTCTCGAGTCCTGTGAAAGCTAATTTGAACTCGACTCTAGCGAAATATAATTTGAACTTTGACTGAGGTGTAAGGGAATAGCTAAGGTCAGTCTGAATAATTAAATAAATATAAATTATAATAAATATAAATATCTTAGGGAAAAACTCTTGAATTAAACAGGTTAAATGTAAAAAAAATGTATATAAATAAGCTGAAAATGAGAACACAAGGAACATCCTCTGCTGCTATTTTTCCCTAATTAAGAAACAATTTATATGTTACAATTCTAAACTGCTTAAACGAATTTTCCCTAGGATATTTATAAAATTGTTTTTAATATTAAAACAAAACCTAAACTAGGAGATTTACCTTGTATACCCTTGTAATTGTAATACCGTATGTTTATACATATCTCCCTCTAAAAATAAATAAATAGTTCTTTTAGAAACTATTTGTATCATAAAGCCTTCAACTCTAAACTCCCCTATCTGCCTATTTCCCCCCTTTTTATTGTTTCCTTATAAACTTCACCTCTTGAATAATAAAAACAATAACCTTTTTGACCATTAAACTCACCTTCCGAAAGCGTGCCATGCTGGACATTCTGGCTACTCGTGGAACCAATAAGCCCTAGTGCCGTGGAGCAAGTTCAGTGTCGGCAGACTCAGGGTTCAGGGTCAGTCGTTAGTCCTCCTTTCCCTCCTCCTCCTCTTCCTATAATCAAGCGGGAAAAGTAGAAACTCGTTTAGTATTGAGCTTTGTGCGTGTTGCACATGGCGTATGATTAATGTGCTGCGTAGACACGCAAAACGCAATGCACTTGACCTTATCCGAGTGTTATCTACGCTGGTAACTATATGTATATACTCAGCCGACGACTATCTGCCATATGCTCTGTATGCTCTATTGATTTTTCCAGCTGTAGAGGTGCCTCTTCTTGGCTTTTCTTTTGTTTTGTTGATGGGGAAAATGCCCAACAGGTGGTTGAAATTTCTTGAAAAGTTTACTTGCTGCGAGATTTTGCTGCGATTTTCTTAGTTTTTTGCATTTTAAATTGTAATTAGAGAATGAGATTGTTAGAGGAAACTTACTGCTGTCTAAGACAGTTGTTTTTTTTATGTGGTTAAAGGGTTTCTACTAGAATCCTGGCAGAGGAGGATGTATCATCCAGTCGCCTTTGGCGGAGAAGATAAACTGGACAATGAAGCGCGGCACCAAAAAGTAGTTAGTCCAAAACAAAAGTAACGCAGGCGCTCTTTGAAGGCTCTTTGAATATACAGTGGGACGTAGTCGAGGGAAAATGTGTTTAAATTTAAGGGATAAAGGATGAAAATAATTTATAAAATCTTTGTAAACAACGTAAAGTAATAAAAATATATTTAAAAAACCATTTCTCTTGAAATACAAAATATTTAAAAAATAAAATAAAATTTTCACAAGAAATATAGCAAAATCAGCTAAAAATTAAGCTCTCTTTTAACCAAAAAAAGCTCTGTGTTGGCCAAGCTTTTACCCAATTCCCCAACAAATCCCCAAGAATGCCAAGCAAGTCCTTTGTTTTGTTTTCACAATTCTTTTATATATTTTTTTTTTGTTGTGGTTTGTTTTAAATATTCCATTCAGCTCTACATTCACAATTACATATTTCTTCGTCTGCTTCTTTTAAATTACATAATATATATATTTAAATATATATATTAATGCATATATATATAGTTTAAAATGTATGTATATATATATAACTTTGTTGCTTCCGAATCGAAGGACTCGAAAATCCAAATAACTTGATGCAATCCGAAAGTGGCTAAAAGGGGGCTCGGTGTGTGTTTGTTTTGGGTTTCTTTTTTGTTTTTTAAGGAGAATTAATGACATATTAATTAATTACACATATGTAATTACATTTATACGTACAAACCTAGAATATATATATATGTAGAAGATAAAGAACAGTGGCTAAGGGTTTTTCTCTTTTTATGGTTTATGTTTGATGTTGTTGTTGTATGTATGGTTGTGGCTGTGTGTGTGATTTAGTGCATATTTAAAGATTTAAGATTTAAGGGTCTTAATTCATTTTCTTGTTTGCTTTTTTCTTATATTTTTTTGTAGTTTTTTTTTGTGGTTTTTAATTAAGTTTTTTGTGTTGGTGTTTTTGTTTTTTTTTTTGTTTGTCACTTAAAAAATTACATTAATAAAATGTATTTTAAAACTTATGCAGAAAAAACGTTGCCCATTTTACTCGCTCTCATCCTCCTCCTCCTCCTCGGAGGACTCTTTCTTCTTGGCCTTCTTGGCTGGCTTGGCGGCCACCTTCTTTCGCTTCTTGGGCGCACCAGAGTCGGTGCCGCCATTGGCCTCGTACTCCTTCACTGCCTTGTTGTACTCCTCCTTCTGCTTGATGGCCTTCTGTTCCCATTCCTAGAAATATATTTAGGCAGTTAGCGTTTATTTAGAGAGCAGAGTCTGAAGTAAACTTACAGTTTTGTCCTTCAGTCCGCGCCACAGCTCACCGCCTCGCTTGGCTATGTCCGTCACCTTGCTGCCGGGATTGTCCTTCTTGATCTGTTCACGGTTCTCGTTCAGCCAGAGCATATAGGCCGACAAGGGGCGCTTCGGGCGATCTCCACTCATATTTGTTGCTGTTTTGACTTTTTTATTGGTGAAAAATCGAGGGCTAAGCTCTTAAGCAAGCTGTAAAATCAAAAGAAATTAAAAGAAAACTTAGTAAGGAATGAAGGCTCTTAAAGCGAAAAAGCTATTTATCTTAGCATTTAAGTTATAGAAATTCCAACTTTTTATTTAATTTTTTGTATCAATATAAATATTTATTAAACAATTTTAATGGAATCTTAATGCTTCCAAATAATACATTACAAGAATAACTCCCTCCATTAATATCCCTGAATTTTCCTGTACCTCCTCACTCTCTTCAAACTGCATTTTCGGCTGTATACTCACAGAAATCACGCATCAATTAAATATGTACACAGGAGCTGCACTCCGCCCCATTTAACTTTTCATACATAATCCTTGCGGCTTTATATACATAATAGCCCCCGGTACATACATAATTGCTATTTATGGCAGCGATACTATGTACATTTTCGATTAATTGTGGCTTTTATACATGCTCTATGTACTCCCCATTTAATTGGTATTATGTACAAGGCGGAGAGAGGTCATTGCCCCCGAAGAAATTTTCGTAGTCGCCGAGCCAGTGAACTCTACTCGACAACTACTTCTCCCTTTTTCTAGACACAAATCAGCTGGGAAATGGCATGCAAATGAGGCAACGGCGTCAGCGACAACGACGACACTCTGGCCCCCAAACAACGTCCATAAGCCATGCACTTGACCCAAATCCAGAATTTAGCGCAAAATGCACGAGACATCGACAGGCAGCGAGCAAGGGGGTCCTGGAGCCAGCATAACGACGTGAATTGGGTTAACAAACGACTCGAAATCGCTATGAAGGATGCGGATGGAGGAGCAGCACCGAGTCACAGAGGCCCCGAGGAGAAGCTGCCACACACACACACCCAGAGAGGGGATAGAGGGGTTGTGCAGGAGTGTCGCCATCAATCAGGCCAGGCACGCCCTCCCCACCGCCTCCTTCTCCTCCTCCTCCCGTTCTGTGCATGCATATCCTGTGTGTCCAAGAGCAACAGGGAAAACGGCGGCAAAATTGTTGCTAGTTCGACGCATAGAGACAGACGGATGGATGGCTCCGCACATTGCGGCAACACGTGATGCAGTCAGGATAAGGCCTGCTCTCCTCCTTGCTAGGGGGGAAATGGGGGTGGTGTAGGCCACCTAGAAAATCGAAAGCGAAAACCAGCCCCCCTTCCACGTCTCTGCCTGTCTGTGTGGATTGTACATACATATATATTTTGGTTAGTTGTTGGCCCCAAAAATGCATCTGTATCTATATCTGCTGTTCTGCGCTGTTAACTTGGTCCTTTGGCTGTGACAAAACGAGGCGAAAACATTTTTCAAGTGGCAGGAATAAAGGAGATATCTTTGGGTACAGAAAGGAGAACTTTAAAACGCTTAAAAAAATTATAAGAAAATAAATAAGGATTTTCTAGGAATATTTGAGGTTTCATTACTTTTATTAGTTATTATTTTTTTAAATAGTTTTAAACTAAAAAAACGCATTCCTATAATTTTAAGTTTTTATTTTCAATAAAAGCACATAAAATGGCTCAGACATATTAAAGTCTTAGTTTTTTATAATAAATAAAAAATTCTAAATTTTTTCATAATATAAACTAAGTTTTTACTCCCTAAAACCCAATTTTCCACCTAAAATCTTAATATTTCCTATATTTTTCTCCGAAATATCACGCATACGCAGTGGGGACACCACTGTAGCGCACATTACGCATACGCAACGTGTGGCAAGCGTGGTCATGTGTATGGATATACATATAATGAAAGTACACAGGACGCACACAAAGGACATTAAACGGAATACCAAATGAAGGGGCAGGAAAAAACCCCGAAAAGCCTGGCCAAAGAACTGCCCACTTTTGTCGATCTAAAAATTGAATTGGAAACAGTGGCAAACGGTAGAGGCAGCGACTGAGGCAGAGACTGCAGCAGAGGCAGAGACTGCGGCTGAGGCAGAACCGTTGACGGAAACAGCGGCGTTGACGTCAACTGAGAGGCAAACTGACAACGCTTATCTCGGGCGAGAATATGTGTGTGCTTATGGCGTGTGTTTTTAATGCCCCGTTAGGCGGCGAAACGAGGCAGGGAGGCAGGAAAGGCAGCAGTAGCAGCAGCAGCAACCACCCAACAGCCAGGACGAAACACTGCCAACAGGACGAAGCTTGTGCGCAGAACCAGCATTTTAGGGTAGATACTTTCCCAGGGAATTGCGCACTGGAAGCAACGGGCCTTTATGTGCCTGTGTTTTTCCCTTGGAGAGCGAACGCTCTGAACGCACAGTGGTGACTTTTGAACGAGGCACACATACTATATCGAGTGCCATAACGACCCTTCCTCGTTCTTCGCTCTGTGCATGCCCCGTTTCTCGCTGTGTATGTACAGTCGTGGCAAAAATCAAAGGGTAAGCCATTGCCATAGCCGCTGCATACATTATAACGGCACCATTAAGGCAGAAAGGCGCGACAGATGGCGCCTCTGCTGCCTGTTTTTTATAATAATAAGTAATTAATTGTGGAAATTTTATGGCAGAATAAGAAATTAAGGCCAAGGGTGCATTTTTTAATTCCAGAGAATTTATTTTTTCAAGAGATTTTTGATTTGATTTTATGATTCCGGCTGAAAACATTTCCATTAAAAATTTAATCTAAGTTAAATGAATCACAGTTTTAAAATACCATAAACTAATTCATTATAAAATAATACTTTTATCACAGTTTAGGATGTCCCTTAAAATTCCTAAAAAATATCCGGATTGAAGATAACAGAAATTAAGAAACATTTTTGAAACGGATTGTTAGTAAAACCACAAAACATGTTTTGTAAAGGATTTTTTTTTAATATCCCCTTAAAAATCCTATTCCTATCCCCTTAAAACTCCCTATTTTGTATTTTTTAGCTACCATAAATGCAAATATCACAGAGTAAGTATCATTTTCTCTATCTCTCTCCCTATCTACCACTACATCAGCGGGAAAAAAGAGCGGGAAACCTGCGATCGCACGAGACATTTGACGAATCTACCGCTATCTCCCCCATAGATTAAGCCCTATATCTCGCCTACCCGATTAGGAGGCACGGAAGCACGGAAAATTGGCGCGAAAAGAGCTTTGTAACTGTAAAATTCAGCCCAGAGGCGAAGAAGAAGAAGCTTTGCGCGCTCTCACTCCCTCTCTCTATGTTGCGACTGTATGTGTGCGAGCGGGGGGACTATATAACAAAACTTTTGGCGCCATTTTTAGTTTGCACTCGAGACTGCAGCACGCAAAGCGCTAAAAAACAACACCAAGAAATAGAAGGAAAAAAATCAAATCAAAACACGCGCACAGCGTGAATAAAAACAACACAAAACAACCAAAAGCCAGCGAGGACAAGTAAAAGTGAAAAAGGGTGAAGAGCTAGACGAAGATCGTAAAGGATCAAAAGGATCTTAAAAAGCATACACGATATATGCTTGAAAAATACCAAAAAACTTGACCTAATAAAAGTAAACAATATACAAATTATTATCCTTTAATCAAGTGAAAACCTCTAAGAACACAAATAAATCCTGAAACACCTTGAATCCTAATCTTAAACCAAAACAATATCTGTTGGGATCAACTTAATAAATACTATTTTCTCTCAATTTTATAATACAACTTTAAAATCTTCACACAAAATTAAAGAAAATTCAAGTCAACACAGGATCTGCT